TTATTGAAGAAGCAGAAAGATGGTCCTTGCAAGAAAGAGGAGAGGAAAGAGGAGTTGAGCACATGGGTAGTAGGTTTTTAGACCCCCTCTAGCCTTGTTTGGAATAGTTTCCTGTTGCTGTGGCATGAACCTTGAGGCTATTTCTGAGTGTTTTTCTAGGCCTTGGTATCTGTGGTTTAATCCTATTATCATATCCTGCTTCCCAGGTGATGGGGCTAATGACTCCTAGAGTTTGGGTGGGGCATGCAGATTTTCTCTTTGTCTTCTTGAGTTCTCTGGCTTCAACTTTCTGATGGTTTTACGTCTGCACTTGTATGGGGCTAGCTCTTGCTTGGGGCAGAGAGATAGATTTGGGACCAGGTTTGGTTTTAAAAAATCCTTTTGAGGAAAAATATATTTTTCTGCCCTTTTAATATTGCCTTCTCTGGGCTAACGTCCCTCAAGTGTAAACCCAGACACTCTATTTTAATGTTTTTCAGACTTGGCGACGTTAAGGTCTGTGAATTTCAACTCCTAGAATTCCCAGCTACCAATGCTGCTAATGACTTGAATTCCCAGCCAGTAGGAATTCTAGGATTTTAAGATATTCACACATTTTAAATTGTGTTAGATTTGAAATATATTGATCTATGTGAAGAATGGACTGGGTCAGAGGTCCCCAACCTTTTGGGCACCAGTGACCAGTTCTGTAGAGACAGGTTTTTCCATGGACCGGAGAGTGTGTGGTTTTGTATGCTGCCAGTATCCCAAGGATGGGGTTTGCTTGTTTGTGCGGACCGGTTGCTGGCATGTCGCAGCCCAGTGGACCAGGGCTTGGGGACCCCTGGACTGGGTTACTCTACAAATGTTTATCAACCTCAGCAATCTTAAAATGTGTTAAGGAGTACATCAGAGCAAATTTGGTGTAGTGGTTAAGGTACCAGGCAAGCAACTGGAAGATGAGCAACAAAGATGATTAGGGGACTGGAGGCTAAAACAAAGAATGGTTGTAGGAATTGGGTATTTCTAGTTTAATGAAAAGAACGACTAAGGATGACATGATAGCAGTGTTCCAATATCTAAGGGGTTGCCACAAAGAAGAGGGAATCAACCTATCCTCCAACGCTCTGAAAGACAAGAAACGATGGAAACTAATCAAGGAGAGACGCAACCTAGAACTAAGGAGAAATTTCCTGACAGTTAGAACAATTAACCAGCGGAACGACTTGCCTCTCAAAATTGTGAATACTCCAACACTGGAAGTTTTTAAGAAGAGATTGGACAACCATTTGTCTGTAATGGTATAGGGCAGACATGTCAAACTCGTGACATCGCGTGACGTATCGGGACTGTTTTGCCATTGCCAGCAATGGGGTAGGCGTGGCTTCCGTGTGACACGCTGGCCCATGGGCCGGCAGCTTGACACCCCTGGTATAGGGTTTTCTGCCTGAGCAGGGGATTGGATTAGAAGACCTCTAAGGTCCCTTCCAAATCTGTTATTGTGTTATATTATGAGTTCTAATCCCACCTTAGGCACAAAGCCAGCTGGGTGACTTGGGCCAGTCTCTTGTTTCCCAGCCCTAGAAAGGAGGCAAAATATCTGGCCAAGAAAACTACAGGATCTTGTTCAGTCATTAGGAATCAATATTGACATGAAGGTTATACAAATATGTATGTTTGTAATGTATGTATGTAATGTACAGGCCATAACACATAGTGGCTTTGTTGCCAAGGTTGTGATGGCAGTGTACCAACGTACAGTTTTTGTACCAACCTACTCTACTCCACCTTGAGGAAGAAAGTACATTAGCATTGTGGTGTAGAGCAGTGTTTTGCAACCAGGGCAATTTTAAGGTGTGACTTCAACTCTCAGAATTGCCCAGCCAATGGATGTTGAAGTGACACATCTTAAAGTTGCCCAGATTGAAAACAATTCTACAAAGATGCATTCCTAGGAAAGGAAAGAAACTATTGATTTGATATGTGAGTGGAGCATCAATTAAAGTGGCAGATAACCCCAGGAATCAAATTAGATTTGTATTCATTAATTCAGAGCAAGCATCACTTTGTCCAACACTAATTAAATTAATCATTTCATTGATTATTTTTATAGGAGCAATATAGGCAGAAATTAAGCAAAGCAATCTCCACCCTCATTGCATTATCCTGCAAGAATTACTTTGTCTAAATGCGTGCTTTGGTTTCGTGGGAATGAAGCTTAGGTATTTTTATTTGACTATATATATATATTGTGTACTTGCCTACATTGCCTTAATGTGCAAGAATGCAGGGCAATTAAGAAATATTTAAATCAAAATGAACAGAGTTGACACAAATGTGGCAAAATTAATAGAGAAATCTCTTTTTAATTGTTTTTCAACTCATACTGAAACTGCATCATGGCAGCAAATAGGATAGGATCAGTTCTAGCTAAATGAATGGCACCAGACAAAAATATAATCATAACATCTTAACAGAAATCTTACCTCTTGTCAATTAAAAATATTTTTTCAAAATAATTGTTCATATATTTTGTTAACTGAATAACTTACATATTTGAACTATTGAGCCTTGACTATGCAAATAAGTGTACCATCTCAACAATTTAAATTTATTATCCAATTCTGTATCAATTATACTTTAAGATGTTTAACCTTAAACATATAAAGACCAAAGCAATAGAGAAACAATTGAAATTTAACAAGTATAGAACCACATAATTTTCAGTTCAAAATAAAAATATATGAAAAATAACTATTATATAAAGTTTTTTTAAAAAATGAATGGTGAGCATTTATAGTTGGCTGATTGATTTTGTTTCCAAAAAGCCTTAAAGTTCTCTTACAACTACCATTACATTCTCATCTCTATTAAATATTGAGAGTGTTAACAATTTGCATTACGTTTTGGAATTTGGATGTTAGATTTTAAAGATCTCTATATACATATTTTAAAAAATTAGCTGATTTTGTCCTGTTTTGACAAACTGATACATTCCAAAGACACTGATGTGACTCTGCTAAAATATATTCAAGTGATGAATATATTATAACATAACTTTTTGTGAACAGGGATCATACAAGAAATAAATATTCAAGTAAATAATACAGTACTGAGAATCTTCTGTTGAGCGGATGATTTGGTTTTTGTTCTGGCAGACACTTTAAAGGGAATTGAACTTTAATAAGTAAATTAAAAGAATTTGTGGCACTGGAAGGTTTCAAGGTTAACAAACAGAAGACAAAGATGTTAACAAAATATATGAAGATAAAAGATCAAAAAGAACTGATGAATAAAATAATTTGGGAGATTTTAAAGACTAGTGCAAAATTGAATACCAAAAACTTTTCTTTTAGGATTAAATGAATAGCCAACTAAGGTAGAATAAAGTGGAATAATGATAATGAAAAATCACTAAGAAAATGATGTGTCTGCATAATTACTAGAGTGATGCTGTGTTAGCAATACGTGACTAATCTAGTGCATTACACTTGGAAACAATGTATGTAGCATAACTGTCCATTGTATGCCTGTGAGAAACTAACCGAATGAAATACAATGTAGATTTCTATGTGTCTTCCTTTGTTCCTGAGAAAAGAAAGTGTAAAACTGAAGTCTGAACCCGCCCTCGGAGTTCAGAATTGTTTGTTGCTATTGCTTCTGAACCTGCGCAAATAAACCCCTCTGTTAAAACCCTCTGGAATTCATAAGAGCCCTTCGTTTTCCACAAGACAACCACCATGAAGCTTTGTTTTAGTATATGACCGCAGTAAGATTACTACTATTCAAAAATGGAAGAAGAGAAAAATTCTGGATATAAATGTACATTAGCTTAAGAGGGACATGTATTTTAAGTATTTTACTATCTTCTTATTTCTTTTTCTTCTCTTTTTTATTGTTTTTAAGACATGAGAAAGGTAAAAGTGTTGGGATGGCCTGTATGAGGAAAAAGACTTAAATACTTAAGTGTAATTAACTTTGAGAAAATCTCAGCCGGTAAGAATGTTTTGAACATTGCGGGGAAAACAAACTTAAACAAGAATTTTGTAAACAGGATCGATGACGAGGGATGATCAGTTAGAAAAGAAGCTTTATATTGATGCAGTTATTATTTGCAGAAATATTAGAAAAATGTCTATATTTAATTGTTACTTTATCAAAATAATGAGAATTGCATTAATGCCAGAGAATATTATTGGAAAATCAAGCAAAGCTACTATGTGGAGTACAGAATTATAGAAACTAATTGTTATTGATTGTTTTTTAAATATAAACCCAGACGACAAGCTGTTTACCAAATATTAAGGTGGTTATATTAAAAAAAATCAATAAAATATATTTTTTAAAAATGGAAAAGTTCTACACGACAACAGAAGAATGGTTAGTGAAAATGATGGAATGTGTAGAGATGGCTAAATTGACCTCTTTGATTAGAGAAAAGACATTATCTACATGTATGGAAACCTTTACAGACTTTTTGCCTGAAACAGAAAAAAATGCACTTATGAATTGTTTTGATGATTAGAAAAAATATAATAGAAAAAAGTTTTTTGATAATTATAAAGTAAGAGATAAGTTGGCAAGCATATTTTTATTTGCTGCAAAGGAACTCAGAAGTCCTTTCTATTTTTTTTATTTTTTTTTGCACTATCTTTTGTCTTTTTGTTTTATTTATTCTGTAACAGCTTATGTTAGTTTTTATGTTCTTAGAATTTTTAATAAAATTTATAAAACAAAGAATTTTCTGTTTATCTAAATCTTGAGATTACATTCCTTATCAGACTTTAGAGCAGTGTTTCTCAACCTTGACAATTTTAAGGCATGTGGACTTCAACTCCCAGAATTCCACAGCCAGCATTGCTGGCTGTGGAATTCTGGGAGTTGAAGTCCACATGCCTTAAAATTGTCAAGGTTGAGAAACACTGCTTTAGAGTAATGTCCTAATTGGAGATAATAAGAAGCAGATTTGTTGGCTCAATACAATGTGGATATTCATGCAATCAATGTGGATATTCATTGATTAGTTTCACTGTAGAAAAAAGTTTTGTAAAATAACACAAAACGCTTACATGTCATTGTGTTAAGAAGTTTACAATTTAAAATTGGTAAGCTGCACCCTGGCTAATTCAAATGCAAATAGAGAGAAACCATTTGCAGCACCTAGAGTTTAGCATTCACAATTCTTTTTATAATGTAAGCATATAAAGCTGATAACGTGCAATCTGAACACAATTCAGCAATCATAGTTTGGGATTTTCAAGCAAGCCAAACCTAACAGTTTGAGCATCAGATGGGGAACAAAAAAAAAAAAAAATGTTCAGCCTTAGTGAAGAATGAAGAACAAAGTTCTGCCTGGTACGTCAGAAATTATGCAAGCTTGCATATGCCAGTTCTCCCAAAGAGGAGTATGCATAGGCATTAAATTTTGGTTCTTTCAAAAACCAAAGCATCAGTCATTGGGGGTGATGAAATGCATGCCATGATTTCATGATGCAAATAGTGTGAGTTGCTTGCTTACACCAGAAGCTGAGATGCAAGTATGCAAGGCCATATTTTGTTTCCTGACATCACTATGCATATACTGTATAGTTTCTGCATCATCATGGCTTGCTGCAGAATCATTGGACCAAAGGCAGCAGAAATGTTTTTATTTGAAAGTCCACGGAAAATTATTGCAAAGGCAATTAAACTCCATAGAAATTCATTGCATGTATAGTTACAGAGGACTGATATACTTCGTGCAAATCTTTTGGACTTCTATTGGAAAGTTGGGAAATAATATATAAAAGTAATGCATACCAGAATGTTGGTACTTAAACATATTATTAAGACTGAAAGAACAATTGGCTAAAAAATGTTATGAAAATTGAAACCCTGTTACAGTACTGAATATCTAGCTTTTTGGTAGCCTTATTCAAAACTGGATGTAGCCATAACAGTCAACCTGGCAGAGGACATAAAGAAAGACATACAAGATTGAATGCATAAAAGCAGATTCTCATAAGTACTAAGCAATCCCCATTATTAGATGACCAGAGTGCTTCATCATTAATGTAGGTAAAATCAAAGTTCACAATCTTCAGATCCTTTTGCAGGTACATTTCATTCAGTTTGTTTAATATTCTTGCAAAGGAGTATTTAGATGCACAGCTGTAAGCTTCCCAAGTGTAAACTTGCTTGAAATGCATATCAAACCATGGATTATCCTAAAAGGGAAAGACATGTTTTATTTGCTGCCTTTCTGTTCAGAAAGAATATTCAAACTAACATAGAATTCAAAATAACATGCAGATACAAGTTAGCATCTATAGAACAATACAGGTAGTCCTTGACTTACAGCCACAAATGAGGCCAACATTCCCATTGCTAAGAACACAGTTGTTAAGGGAGTTTTGCCCCATTTTACAACCTTTCTTGCCACAATTGTTAAGTATATCACTGCAGTTGATAAGTTAGCAACTCAGTTGTTAAGTGAACCTGGCTTCTCCATTGATTTTGCTTGCCAAAAGGTTGCAAAAGGGATCACGTGACCTTGGAACATAAGTATGAACCAGTTGCCAAGCATCTGAATTTTGATCACATGATCGTGGGGATGCTACAATGATTGTTCAGTGTGAAAACCGGTCTGGTTACTTTTTTCAGTGCCACTGAAACTTTGAACAGTCAGCTAAATGAATGGTTGTAAATCAAGGACTATCTGTAAAATGTACTATATAGAGAACCATTGCCCTTTTAAGACCTGACCAAAAAAGATTGGTGTTGTCTGAATTTCTGAAGACAGTGTGGGGACAAAAAGAGCTCTTATCCACATGCAACACAAGGAAAGGTTTGATAGAGGAGGCAAGCGAGATTATTAGAATATCAGATCACTTGTAGTTGGAAACCAGCTTCCAATTGATGAGATCTTTTAGTAAGACATGCAGTCCAACTACAATATTTTGGAAGTTTTCCATGGATAGCTTCAAACAGAGCAACAATTAACAATAAACCAAGGATGTGGCAAAGACACATGAGCATCCCTTCAGTGATGCTGAAGTTATAGTGTCAAAATAGGTAGATTCGTGCCTAGTCACATTTATTTTCTCTTTTTCGTTTTGCAACAATAATAGTAGTTTGCAATTGCTATACTCATAGTTAGTATTTCTATAGTTACTGTACAACCATGTACTTCCTAGTATCCTGAGTTCAAAAGGGAGGTGGAATGTTCTTGGAACTGCTGAAAGGACTGTAGGCAGGAGGTAGGTGGGGTCTTCTCCCTCCCCCTGTTGACACAAGACTGCCCAATGTTAACATAAATGGCCTCTTTTGGACCATTGATTTGAAAGAAGGGTAAAAGAGGCCATTTATGTTAACATTGACCAGCCCTCTCTCAACAGAGGGGGAGGGAGAAGACACCACCCATCTCCTGTCTCCCACAATGTCCTTTCAGCAGATCCAAGAACATTCCACCCCCATTTGAACTCTGATACAGGTGACCCTGAGGGGACGGATAAACCCTCAAGGGGTCTCAAGAGCTCTCAAGGAGAGTGCTAACAACCAGATGACTGCACAGAAATATGATCCTTCCAACCTCCCCACCCATCCTGTCAGAATTAATCCTTCCATTGCTCTCACCATCCCATCCGAACTGATGAAGTTTCTTGGATGACAAACAAAACGTCTTCCTTGAGGAAAAAAAGTCCAGTTGCCTTTTAAAAAAGCACCTTTGAGACATCCATGACCTGGATGACTGAAAAGCTCCACAAATGTTTACGTTTTAGCTATATCATCACCAACAGAATATACGCCTTATAATAAAATGCAGCACTTACAGCATCCGCCTCTTTTCCATCTATCATCTCCAGATCATCTAGAAGCCATTTTTGAGATATTTCATAGTTCTCATCAAGGCCAGTTCTGTAGTGTTTCACCACAGATATTTGTACTTCTTCACCTTTTGACACTGCAAGATGAACGCTTGATTTACACGCACAATATATTTTCATACAGAATGCAAAAATAAAATCTTTATTAAGGAAAAAAAAATGGTCTTCTGTAGCATTTGGTGACTTAGGCCCAGTGTTTCTAAGATTCAGCAATTGCAGTGTCTTTTAGCATTCATGCCATTTAAACTAATTTAGCCTAATTAATTAAGGTATAGGTATGATATCAAAATACACATAACTAAATAAACTGTCCATATTTAAACTTAAAGGGGCAGTTTAAAATTGGATTTGAAGCATATTTACTTTGAAATAAGTTGGACTTATTTCCAATCTATGACTGCAGTCCCAACACCAAATTCTTTAATAGTGTCAATAATTTACTGATGGGTCAAGGTTTGTACAATTCATTTTTTATTTTAAATATAAGTAGACCTCATTGCATCTAATGTATTACAACTAAAAAATTTATCATGTTATTAATGCCCAATTTTACTTTTGTGTTGTGTCTTTTAGGTTGGATATCTATTGGAATATAGACAGTTTTTTTAAAAAAATAATAATTACAAATTACTCTGAAAACTTTAACTGTAGATCAGGGAAGTCATGATTTAAAAGAAATAAGCAATATAAAGTCATCTTTATTCCAGCACTGACCAGTAAAACAAAGTTCTGAAATATAGAATAACATCCATCTCAATGAAATAAAAATGTATTGCTATACCAATTAACTATATGCTATACCAATTAACTATTTTTAAATAGCTAGTGCAAACTATAAAACCATGAAACCAAACCAATTAAAAATATAAGTTTAAAATTTTAAACACAATAAATACGAGTATTGGTAAAGGTTAGGCAAAACTTTAAGTGATGACTAAAAATACTAAAAAGAACTGACAAGAAATATAAAATCATTGTATTACTGAAATCTTTAAAAATATGTTTAATATTAATAGTGCGTCTGCAGGGATTATATAGATTAGTAGAGAGTAGAATAATACATTCTTAAAGGAGAGAGTAATGAGTTAAAAGAACAATTGCAATAATTGATTATTTGCATTTTTAAAGATGGTTGCAACAACTGATAATAATTTAAAAAATAAATATTAATAAATCAATAATTCGATATAGTGGAGCCATAGAAATAACTAGACTATATCCTGCGTGTTAATTTTTTATTATGGGCAAATTACACAAGTTGAAAAATCAGAGATTGCATGGCCTCCTGCAGCTTAAGAGTATGATGAATGATTTTATTAAATTGTATTTCAACAATTACAATTAACTGTTTTTTCTTCCCAGTTAAAAACATGTGATAATTTACATCTTCTTTTTACATGACCATCAGCAAAACTCTCAAGTTTTGCAGCTGTTAGAAAAAAAGAAAATAGACATCTTTATGGGAAAAAAATTCATGAAAACTATGACAGCAACGGGCAAAATATAATGTAAGGAAAAGGCCAGATCACTAGCCATAAACTTTCCAATTACTCATATTTTACTTATATGGAGAACTGATACATCTCTCATACTCCAAAGTGTTTTCATGGGTCTTGAATATTTGGAAGAAAATATAGAGTGTGCAGAAATGGATAGATTGATTTTAAAGATAAAAGAGAAAGAAGACTCAGTGTATTTTAGAACATGGGATAATTTCTATCAATGGCTAGAAAAATGAGTTCATGAGAAAGGAATGTGATATGTAACTTTGAATATATATTAGCAAGAAGAAGACTATTGAGCGATTAATTAACATATTGTTTAAGATAATTAACTATTATCTATTATTTTTTGTTAAACGCACAAACCCAGGCATTATGCTGTATGCTAAATATTGAGAATGTTATTTGAAAAAACCCTAACTCCAACTCCAACCGTAATCCTAACCCTAACCCAAATCCCAACCCCAATCCCGACCCTACCTCATTCCTAATCCTATTAAAAACTAATAAAATTTATATAAAAAATATTTGGAAGAAAAATCAAAGCTTTATTGGGGAGTGTAAGCTTTGCTACGGTTTTTTACACCTGCACTGCTCTTGCCCTTAAGTCAACTCGGCCTCTATGGTACACTATTAGGATCTGGACGCCCAAAAGCCTTGCAGAGGGAGGTAATGACAAACCATTTTTATATTATTTGCCAAATAAATTTTCATCCAAGCAATTTTAAAAGTGACTTTATGACATTTAAAAACTGTCATTTCAATAATAGTCTTGGATTAGATCCAGATTACATTAGCTCTACTTAGTTCCTGTTAAAATCAATAGAACAAGCTACCACATGACTTAATAATTAAGTTCCAATGTGATTTTTACACGTAACTGCCTTGCCTCGTTTACAGAACTTTACTAGACCCAGATGGCAGTGTTTTCCTAGTCCTTTCTTTGTATTTTTCAGATTATTTTTTCAACATCAGAATATATTAAGGGGGGGGGGAAGCTTTGTGTTTGATTTTACTAAAGATTATAGATGCAGTTAATTTAAGGTGGAATCAAACTTAAATGATTTCAAAATTTTACTAAGTATATACAAGGGTATATACTTGTACCATGATTTTCTGGATTTGCACACATGCCTCAAACTGCAGTTACTTTCATGATTTTCATGACTTTGAAACTCCATGTCAAGAAGATGCTTCCAAATTTTATAAATGATTTAACACCGAGTTCCTTTTCAAGGGTAAACTGTCAGGAGGAAGTCTTATGCATCCCTGAAATTCTGCTACTTATTACAATTCATTGGAATTGTAACCAAAAAATATGAAGAATTTTTTGAGAGGTCTTTGAATTTTTATATAACCTCTCAGAGGTCCTAGATCAGGGGTGGGCAACCTTGGTTCTTTTATGACTCGTGGACTTCAGCTCCCAGAATTCCTGAGCCAGCATGGCTCAGCTTGGAAACTCTGAGCAAAGAGCCAAGCTAAAACTTAGAAACTAAAACTTTAGTTTTAGAGAAAAAAACCCTAAAAACTTTAGAAACTAAATTGAAACAAGCTTGGAGAGCAAACCACTGACAAAAAAAGAATCAAGCTGTCCAGAAAATTAACAGGATGGGAGAACTCTAAATCCCATGGAGGAGACTGTTCCAAAGGGTAGGACAGCCACGGACAAAGTGCAACTCCAATGTCATCCCAGATGGCAACATTTAAAGGAAGGGACCAGGTGGGAACCCATGCTATCTGACCTGGAAGAATGGGCAGATACCTGCATGGTGTTGTTCCCTATGAGAAGACTGTACATGATTTCTGTACATCATAACTCCATATGTCTGAGGAGTCTGAATATAAGATGAAACTTGTTACCTATTATACATGTATGTTTGTGTGTGTCTTATAGAGAATGAAAATTGAATCAAACCTGTATGATAATAAGATAAACCTGAAAAGGAACATAAAAAACGATCTTATGCTGATTCAGATCCTTTGGTGCACCTGAGTATCAACTGAATTTTAGACTGGAGGCATACAAAAGTCCCTATACTTTCTTAAACAAAAGGAGATCTTCAGCATCCTATTTAGATATCTGCAATATTTATCTTAGTGATAGACAGCATGTAGCTAACCTTGGTTGATTTCAGAACCTAGGTAAGGTTAGCTGTGATTAGAATTTGTTTGGGGAAATCATATAGGACAGTGTGGCGAACCTCTGGCATGCATGCCAGAGGTGGCACTTGGAGCCCTCTGTGGGCACATGCGCCGTTGCCCCATCCCTGCCTCCCCCCGCGACCCCCTCCTCACCAGCAGCCCTCCCGAAGGATTGTCTCCCCCAGACATGGCCTGCACGGAGCAGCATAGCCAAGGCCCAAGTACATGGCAGCCACGTAGCAGGGACAAGACTCCACCCGTGCACCCCATCGCGTGTAGATGGTGCTGCAGGGGGCAGGTGGAGGGCGTGGCTGCCATGGCACTGCAAGGCCGCCTGGGCGATCTGTGGCAGGCCGTGGAGGTGGTGAATGGCCCTGCAGGCAGGCAGGGTGGGGGCAGAGTGCAAAGCAGGGGTGGGCTGGGGGGGGCAGTTTTTGGGGCACTTGGTCTCTAAAAGGTTCACCATCACTGATACAGGAATTCTAAAGCTGTAGGATAGATTGGGGAATCGAAAAAAAAAACAAACCATGCATCCCAGACCAAGCTTGACTTTTGATTTGTATTTGCTTTTCTTTACTATTTATCTGCTTCAAGTAAATAAAGCCGTAACTGTCATTTAACATCCTTATACTGAATAACAGTCAAACGGATACTTCTATCACAGGCAAAGGCCAGAACATGCTTAGGGCAATTTTAATTACTTTAGTCTCCTATCATTTCTGAAAAAACGTTGCCAAGAAAACTAGGGGAACTTGCCAAGACGTCATCGCGAATCGGATACAAGAAAATTGGAAGGGGAAAAGAATGTAATTTAGCAATCGCTTTAGATTCCTTTCAAAAATAATCTGTGAAAATTTACATAGATTCTCTCTTGAGCAATTCAACGATCAATCTGATCGAACTGGAACTGGGCTGCTTCTAAAGACAGAGGGAATGGGATGAGAAGCACAGGGAATGAAATGAGTGTTCTCGCAGGGAACCCTAAAATAGATTCTGTCTTTGAGAATGATTTTTTTTCAATATTTGTTCAGATTTTATTTCAAATGGCAAATCTGCTTGGATGCAGAAAACAAAAGTGGCATCCACCGGAGGGAGCTCAGGAACAGAGTAAAAACCATCCTTTTTCCAATGGATATCCTGACAACGCATGCATGTCCCAAAGGGTACACACCAGGGGTAGGCAACCTTGGCTCTTTTATGACTCATGGACTTCAACTCCCAGAATTCCTGAGCCAGCCATGCTGAGGGGAAAGGGAGAGGTTTCCAAGCTGAGCCATGCTGGCTCAGGAATTCTGGGAGTTGAAGTCCACAAATCATAAAAGAGCCAAGGTTGCCTACCCCTGGCCTAGTCTATTAAGCCTGACAGGAGTAGAAACTGGTAGGCCTAGTCCATGGGTAGGCAGCCTTGGCTCTTTTATGACTCATGGACTTCAACTCCCAGAATTCCTGAGCCAGCCATGCTGAGGGGAAAGGGAGAGGTTTCCAAGCTGAGCCATGTTGGCTCAGGAATTCTGGGAGTTGAAGTCCATGAGTCATAAAAGAGCCAAGGTTTCCTACCCCTGGTATATACCAAAGACGTGAAGCAATATTAAATTTAAGAAATCATTCACACACACACATGTATATACATTTGGGTGTGTGCGCGTAATCTTGAGGAAGTTTCTTATTTTTTTATGCATGACTTTGCTCAGAATTGATAACAACTTCCTATCAAGTTTTTAACTGCAGATAGCATGGCACAATTTTCCTCCCACCTTTTTTTCCCCATTCTCTGAAAAAGAATTCATTTATCTGATTCTGTCCTTTCATTAAATATAATATGAGGTTACATTTATCTTATCCTCTCTAACATTCCAAGCCCAAATGCTGCACCTATCCTCTATTACTGCTTTGGGTATAAGTACTTTTAGTGATATTATAGGAGTTCCTTCAATATTTCAGTGAAAATGTCTACATTCTCTGCATATCCTGCATTGAGAAATATTTAGCAATGTAAAAAGTTGCAATCAGTGCCTTCTCTTATTAATTAATCTTTACTTAACATGTTATTTGGTGAAATCAATATTGCAAGTCCAGATTTTCTTGACACACAATTTAGGATTCAAAGCACTTTATTTTAAAATAGTGATAATATATCATGAAAAAGAAAAATCATTAAGTCTAACAATGGAGTACTCTAAACAAACATGCAGATGTTTCTTAGCTAAGATATTTTTTCTAAGATAGTGTGAGATATTTTACATAGATGGAAGTACTGTTCATCAGTATCACTTCGTTTAATTATAAAAATGTGCCAATGAGTAATATTAGATTGGCAAAGTATAAAGTGACTTGCATCAGTTATTGGGCTATAAAATATTAACGCTGAAATAAGAACTTACAGTCTTATTTATATTAGAAAAAATAAGAGAAAAGGGTTATTATATTATATAAGTAAAAATGCCCAAACTAGCCATTTTTAAAGCCATAGATCAAATATGTTTTATTAATATCCAATCATATTTTCGCTGTTTCTCTTTAGATTTATTCTGCTGCTTTCTATGGAAAAAATAAATTTCTTCTAATTAAAAAAATAGTCAATTTGGTCCTTTCCAAGTAGGAAATTAACAAAATAGACCAATATATATATCGATCTAAAATTATTTAAATGTAAATTACTTTCAGATAAGAATGTTTATTATTTCAGTCAGCATTTAAAGAAATATAGTTTCTCAAGCAGAATATCTTTAATCCACAACGTTAGCAATAAGAATTTACAGACTAGACATCTAAAATATTTATTGAAAAAGTTAATCACATCAAATTTTGGGGGGAGGGGGTACTGCCTGATGCTATGAAAGGGGTTATACTATGAATCTAAATTATTAATATTTAAAATCCATGCTTGTGCAGTTGATTAGCCTTTTAATCCTGAACACTTTAAAAGCCTAATACCAATCAGCTACTTTGAAGGGAACTATATTGATTTCAATGGATCTTAATCCTAAGTAGATGCATTTAAATTTACTCTCTTATTTTAGTTTGGTGTGACATTTATTGAAAATCCTTATAAATACAGCTGTCAGATGGAGATCCTGTCAGATTACACAACTTAACTAAGTACGTTCAGAACATCAAGTATATTTAAAGCATCTTGCTTGCAGCAGTTATGCAATAACAATATATATAGCAGTATAACTTTCTTTTAGCCATTAACTAACTTGATGTTCTGAGAAAATATACTATTCTATTAGCCTAACAGAATAGTATATTTTCTCAGAACATCAAGTTAGTTAATGGCTAGAATGAATTTTGAATCAGGAAAAGATAGTAGACTGGATAGACAACAACTGAGATAGTTAATTTTCCTTATGTCCCGACCCCATTTACCTGAAGCACAGAGATAAAACCGATCTTGACCTGAACACTCAATTTCAATGAATCCATACAAGTTTTGCCCTAGAGATTTGAATAGCTTCTTGTTGAGATCCTCCTTCAAGAGTGATGACATTGCCTTAGTTTGTGTCACCGTGAGGGATGTTCTGTTTCCACTCCTTTCGCTTCTTATCCGGTGTGGGTTGCTTCAGAGATTAGAGAGTTAATTCTGTGATCAAAACCATCAAGCCACCAGGTTCCAGTCCAGCTTGCTGGCTAGAGAAGCAGCAGTAGCAGTAGCCCCATTCAATGTCCAGTACGTCCAAAATTCCTCTGCTCTGCCATAGTTTGTTGATGAAAATAAATATCCACTCCTATGGGACTCAGCAGCCCCCTGGCTATCATGGGGCAGAAGCATTGTTAACCCAAGTAACGCAAAAGCCCCATTCGCACTAACTCATTTTGCTTCCATTATCCCATAGCTGCCTGACGGTATTGATTGAGAGGATTTTCCATTTAGAATAAGACTATTGGCGGGAGACGGGAGCAAAAGTCACATCTGCTCGCACGCCCTCATCTGCAGAACTGCCGCTTTTCCTGAACACTTAACTTTTCCCACAAGTGTACGTGCATCACTTCAGAAGGAAAAGGCAAGCCAGCCAATTCTGGCTCCATACCCTCCAATTGGCTCCCCCCCCCCAAAAGCTTTGATATTATTGCTAGGTCTCCATTCTTAAGGCACCCAAGAAAAATCTCTTATCATCCAGGCTAGAGTATTGTGGAAAGTAACCATTTCTTTGCTAGTACTTTATCACACTAATACGTCAGTGTTATAAATACTTTCCAGTTATGATCATTCATCTCCTTCAACACTATCTAGAATGCAGTGCACATCCCTCTGCAAAGACTATATGATGTCTTTATTTATTCTATGTAGCCCTCATTACTTTCCTATTTCCTGCCTCCAGAAGCAGTAAATGCTCCAACACTGGAAGTTTTTAAGAAGAGACTGGACAGCCATTTGTCCGAAATGGTGTAGGGTTTCCTGCCTGAGCAGGGGGTTGGACTAGATGACCTCCAAGGTCCCTTCCAACTTTACTACTATTACTATTTTATTTATTTCTAAATTGTTTTTATTTAAAACAATTCACCCCCTTGTTTAGGAGGGTGAAAAGAAGCAAAAGGATCAAAAAGTATTAGACTAGTAAACTACTCAGGTAGCCCACTGCTTGGAAAAAGAGATTGGAAAAAGAATCCTCATACCTTGTTGATATTTAATACATCATTAAATATCATTAAATATCCATTATCAATATAATTAATTCATTTTGGTGCCCATTAACTGATTTTTTCCCCTTATATTCACCTCATCTTTCCAAGACAATTAGCAGCACAATGCCATTAAAGCCTCTTTTTACAACTGATATTTAAATCAACTTTGGATTTTTTTGTGCCATCTGAAATGTAAGGCAGCTAAAATACAAAACGTAGCTCTGTTACATTTTCCATTTGGTGTACAAGAAATTCAAAGGTAGTATAACCACACACTCTTATCTATGTCTGTATGGGAACAGCACTCAATGAGTTCGGTAGACATTGTTCCTTTGTATGAATACAAAGTTTTATCGCCAAGCTTGGAATTCCAAATAGTTCTTACAGACTAAGCACACTGTAGTCAAATTAAATGCAGTTTAGTTAGCTTATTAAAATATTGCTGCAGGAGATGATTAATTATTTTTAAAGACCTTTTGGCTTAAAAATAATATTCTCTGGCTATCATTGAATCCATAATCCCTTGTTCACACATACTTGTAAAGTGTAAAACTGACCAATCACAATTTTGTGACGAGTGATGTGCGTAAGCTGTATGGTTACCCTACTTTCCGGTGTATAAGATGACTTTCGCAAGCGTTAAAATCGGCGCCGAAGTCGGGGATCGTCTTATACGCCAAGTTGTCTTATATGCCAGAAATAACGGTAGTTTCCGGCGTATAAGATGACTTTCTAGGCATGCGACTTGGCGCTGAAGTTGGGGGTCATCTTATACGCCGGGTCGCCTTATACGCCGGAATATACGGTAGTTTTGAATTGGATTACAGGTAGTCCTTGATGTACAACAGTTCAAAGTGACTTATAACTGTTTTTTACACAATCACTGCAGCATTTCCATGGACACACAATCAAAATTCAGATGCTTGACAACTGACTCGCATTTATGACAGTTGCCGTATCCTGAAGTCATGGGATCATCTTTCGCAACCTTCTGACAAGCAAAGTCAATGGGGAAGCCAGATTCGCTTAACAACTATGTTACTAACCTAACAGCTGCAGTGATTCAGTTAACAACTGTGGCAAGAAAAAGTCTTAAAATGGGACAAAGTTCACTTAACTGATTAGCAACAGAAATTTGGGCTCAATTGTGGTCATAAGTCAAGGACTACCTATAATTGACAGGTCTATTAAGTATGGGTAGATGTGTTGGGTGGGACTGATTGTCAACCCTCAACTATTAGGCCAGTGGTTCTCAACCTTTTTAATGCCGTGACCCCCAACCAGCTTGCCTTCGCTGCAGACAACTTGCAGCACCGTTTGCAGAATGGGACTTTTGGCGGGCTCAGCAGGGCAGAGACACCCTGGACAATTCCTATTGGCTTTTGAAAGCCAATAGAATTAGACTCTATTCAAGAGAGTCTATTCTATTGGCTTTCAAAAGCCAATAGAATAAAAGGGAGTAGCACGGCTAAGGAAAAGGGGGAAAAAAATGGCGGACTGCGTTGTTTGGCGACCCCCGTGAAATGGTCGTTCGACCCCAAATGGGGTCCCGACCCACAGGTTGAGAACCACTGTATTAGGCCAAGTAGAAACAGAAAAACTCTGTTAAGATTCTTCTGCACAGCACTGGAAATTCACCCCCAGGAATAATACCTGAAGCTGCTTTTTCGTTTTTGCTTGTTTTATCACTCTCTCAACATCGTTGCTTTCCTAAACCGATTACATTTCAAGGTTAAAAGGAGGCTTGTAAATCATACATAATGTTCCACTATATAAGAATAAATACCAACTAACTTTATTAAAACAAATACTGTGGGGAAAATAACTTTGTTCAGGGAGAGGAAGACAATGAAAACACAGCATGGGCCACATCGTGCATGCAGACAGGGATGGCTTTGGGTGAGAGTTTAAAGTCATATTCTGTAACTTTGACATGTCTGTTTGAGGAGTTAACCATAGTCTTCCTGCAAAATGGCAGCAATCTGCACTCAGTTTTCAGTGGCTCATGGAATGAAATAGTTCAAGAGCCCACAATGATCACATAATGTTCACATAATCTAACCCAGTGCAAAGGGGCAGGAAAAGCAGTAGAGTATAACCATCTCCGAGCTGCACACTTGAGGAAATATATATATATATATATATATTTTAATGTAGGCTGGCTACTTGAGGGCCCCTCCCCTTCACAATATACTACTCTTTTAAGAGCTACCTAGGCCCAAGACAGCCTTTTCTCTTTTCTTTCTCTTGGGCATGTTTGGTTATATGTGTAGGACAAGGTCAAGATAGCAGCCACAATGGTGTAATCCAGTGGTTCTCAACCTTTTTAATGCCGCGACCCCCAACCGGTCGTAAGTTGAGAACTATCCAACCAGTCGTAAGTCGAGGACTTTCCCTGCCCGGGAGTGCCGCGCATGCGTAGTGCCGCCCCCTGTGCCAGCCGAGGCGTAGCTGGCAAGTGGCAGAGACGGCGCAGGCCGACCACTGGCTGGGCCACCAGCTGGCCCAGCCCAAGGGAGGTAAGGTACCCGCTGGGCCCCACGCGCGCCAGCAACCCTCCCTGCGCCCACCGGCCTCCCACCTCTGGCCCTCTTTTACTTACATTTTTAGTAGTTGCTCAGCAGGGAGGGATGCAAACTTCCAGACAGCTCGCCTTTGCTGCAGACAACTTGCAGCACTGTTTGCAGAATGGGACTTTTGGTGGGCTCAGCAGGGCAGAGACAGCCTGGACAATTCCTATTGGCTTTTGAAAGCCAATAGAATTAGACTCTATTCAAGGAAAAGGGGAAAAAATGGCGGACTGCGTTGTTTGGCGACCCCCATGAAATGGTCGTTCGACCCCAAATGGGGTCCCGACCCACAGGTCGAGAACCGCTGGTGTAATCAAAGCTCCATTGGGTTTTCAGGTGTGTTACACACTAACAAGACAGACAATGCATTTCCTTTGCCATTAAGACACCCAAAACAGGGGCCCAGAAGTGGAACCGCAAGGCTGCCATCTTAACTTTTCTATCATCAATAAAGAAGAATATTTGTAGTTCAGGGTTGAAATGAACATAGAATAATAAATAGAGTTGGAAGGGACCCTGGAGGTCTTCTAGTCCAGCCTCCTGCTCCAGCAGGAGACCCTATACCAGGGGTAGGCAACCTTGGCTCTTTTATGACTCATGGACTTCAACACCCATAATTCCTGAGCCAGCCCTGCTAAGGGGAAAGGGAGAGGTTTCCAAGCTAAGCCATGGTGGCTCAGGTATTGTGGGAGTTGAAGTTCACGAGTCATAAAAGAGCCAAGGTTGCCTACCCCTGCCCTATACCATTTCAGATAAATGGTTGTCCAGTCTCTTTTTGAAAGCCTCCAGTGATGGAGCACCCACAACTTCTGAATGCAAGCTGTTCCTTTGGTTGATTGCTCTCTCCATTAGAAAACTTCTCCTTATTTCTAGGTTGCTTGATTAGTTTCCATCCATTGATTCTCATCTTGCCTTTTGGTGCTCTGAAAAATAGTTTGACCCCAAATATTTGAAGGAGCCCTTCAAATATTAGAACAGTGCCATCATGTCTCCCCTAGTCCTTCTTTTCATTAGACTAGACCAGGGGTAGGCAACCTTGGCTCTTTTATGACTCGTGGACTTCAACTCCCAGAATTCCTGAGCCAGCCACGCTGAGGGGAAAGGGAGAGGTTTCCAAGCTGAGCCATGCTGGCTCAGGAATTCTGGGAATTGAAGTCCACAAGTCATGAAAGAGCCAAGGTTGCCTACCCCTGGACTAGACATACCCAATTCCTGTAACCGTTCTTATGTTTTAGCCCCCAGGCCTTTAATCATTTTTCTTGCTCTTCTCTGGACTCTTTCCAGACTCTCAACATCTTTTTTCTATTGTGGTGACCAGAGTTGGATGCAGTATTCCAAGTGTGGTCTCACCAAGGCTTTGTAAAGCAATACTAGAACTTCACGTGATCTTGAGTCTGTCCCTCTCTTAATGCAGCTCAATAATCCCTCTATTAATGAGGGGTCCTTGGTGCTTTCGGTGTTTGGGTTGTTTTCTTACAGAAGTTTAATTGCCCAAACTAGGTAACACCATCAGTGCTAGTGCTTTTCTGATCATCCCCGAGGACCTTCCCAGCCAAGATTGATAGCTGGAGGAGAAGAACCCGGTGCTGGTGTCACTTCCAATTCCAATCTCCAGCCAACCTGTGACTATCAAATGGGGAACAGAGTCCATGTCGACCTCCAGCTCAGTCTGCCCCCTCCCGTTATCCGGGCCAGGACCACCGACAAGCAGACATCCAACCGATGGAGCACCTCGGTCTAACAGGAAGGGGGAAGCGCCGCCTCGACCGTCCACCCAGCCTCCAAGTTTCCATGGGAGTAAACGGGCAAGTCCCGCTTGAGTGCCCGTCTTTGAGCGCTTGTTTGCGCTTCCCGCCGAGAAGAGAAAGAAGAAGGCAGCTCCCTGGCCGTCCCTTTTTTCGATCCGGGCATGAAGCTACCTGCCCGGGGCAGCTCCGAGCGACAACGCAAGATTGGGCATGGACGCCTCGGGGCCCGTCGGCGGGCCGCTTCTTCTCCCGCCGTCGCCCGGATTCCCGGCCTCCTCTCCCGCCTCTTCCCTCTCGCAGGACCAGGCTAAAGCGGCGTCGCCGGGCCGGCGCCGATTCCGCCGAGCGGCCACCGCCGTCGCGCATCTCTGCGGCCTGGTTTTGCGCGGGAAAAGGTAACGCGAAGGCGCAGCGGATGAACTCTGGGGCGGCCGCTGGGAAACTGGAGGGAAACCCCCGGGAGCTGGAGAGAGTGCTAGGCCTTCTTTAAAGCAGGGGTTAGAATTAGAATTAGAATGGAAGAATAGAATAGAATAGAATAGAATAGAATAGAATAGAATAGAATAGAATAGAATAGAATAGAGAATGGACTGGACTGGACTGGACTAGAACAGAAATGGAATGGAATAGAGAATGGACTGGACTGGACTGGACTGGACTAGAATAGAATAGAATAGAATAGAATAGAATATAGAACAGACTAGAATAGAATAGAAATGGAATGGAATGGAATGGAATAGAGAATAGACTGGAGTGGACTGGACTGGACTAGACTAGACTAGAATAGAATAGAATAGAATAGAATAGAATAGAATAGAATAGAATAGAATAGAATAGAATAGTTGAAAGGTACTTTCTAGGAATCTAGGTCATCTAGTCCAACCCCCTGCCCAAGCACGAGACCCTACACCATTTCTGACAGATGGCACTCCAGTCTCTTCTTGAAAGCCTCCAGCGATGAAGCTCCCACAACTCCTGAAGACAAGCTGGTCCATTGGTTGATTGTTCTCACTGTCAAGAAAATTTCTCCTTATTTCTAGGTTGAATCTCTGGCCTCCAGGTGCTTTGGAAAACAGGTTGTCCCCTCTCCTCTCTGTGACACTGGAACGCTGCTATCATGTCTACCCTGCTCCTTCTCTTCACTAGGCTAGCCATGCCCAGTTCCTGTAACTCTTCTTCATATGGTTACAGGAACAGGGCACGGTAGTCTAGTGAAGTTCCTGACCCCTGGTCCAGGCCGTTGCATGCCAGAAACCGGGCCGTGCAAACAAGTGAAGCCCTGTCTGCAGGATGCAGGCAGCTTGCAAAATCACGTCTTCACCGGTCCATGGAAAAAACCTCTCTCCACAGAACCGGTCTCTTGTAAAGAGTTGGGTGCCAACCTGGAACTAAAGAATGGTTTGTTCCCATGGATGCCTTTTGTAGGAGGAGAGGTGTAGTGGTCACCGGTGGGAAAAGGTCAGAAAGAGTCTGGCTGCCCCATTTGCCACTAAACCAGACAGGAGTGGAGTTGAGAGAGAAGGACTGGCCCGCCCAGCTGGCTTTGTGTCTAAGGGGGGCTAGAAATTACAGGTGGTCCTCAATTTACAACAATTCATTTAGTGACTGTTCAGAGTTACAACGGCACTAAAAAAAAAGCGACCTAGGACCTTTGCAAGTTTTGCAGCATCCTCACGATTATGTGATCAAAATCCAGATGCTCAGCAACTGGTTCATATTTATGACCGTTGCTGTGTCCCAAGGTCACGTGATCCCCTCTTGCGACCTTCCGACAAGCGAAGTCAATGGGGAAGCCAGATTTATTTAACAACCAGGTTACTTACGTATCAACTGCAGTGAGGCAAGAAAAGTCGTGAAATGGGGCCAAATTCACTTAACGAATGTCTCCCTTAACGACATAAATTTTGGGCTCAGTTGTGGTCGTAAGTCGAAGACTACCTGTACAGCCTCTTGCTTTCTAGCCTTGACCCTTAACCATTTCTTGCTCCACCGTTACACCAAACTGGCCCTGCAGGTACCAGTGTATGTATGACACTATATACTGCATGTCCAAGTGGGGAAGGAAATGCACCCTGCACAGAACTTAGCAGCAGACCATAAGCCATGGAGTTCGGGGCACCACTGTTTTTCTTTAACCATAGACCAGGGGTAGGCAACCTTGGCTCTTTTATGACTGGTGGACTTCAACTCCCAGAATTCCTGAGCCAGCCATGCTGAGGGGAAAGGGAGAGGTTTCCAAGCTGAGCCATGCTGGCTCAGGAATTCTGGGAGTTGAAGTCCACGAGTCATAAAAGAGCCAAGGTTGCCTACCCCTGCCATAGACACCTAGACCAGTGGTTCTCAACCTTTTTATACGGCGCCCCCCGGTCACACGGACGCGCCACGCATGCGCGGCGACGCCCCCATGCGCGGCGGCGCCCCCATGCGCGGCCTGCATGCGCGGCGGCGCCCCCTGAGGGGGGAAAATGGCGGATCGCGTTGTTTGGCGACCCCCGTAAAATGGTCGTTCGACCCCAAATGGGGTTGCGACCCATAGGTTGAGAACCGCTGACCTAGACTAAAAGCTTCATTTTAATACAGGTAGTCCTCGACTTACAACATTTCATTCAGTGACTGTTCAAAGTTACAACGGCACTGAAAAAAATAACTTATGACCGTTTTCACACTTACAACGGTTGCAGCATTATCATGGTCACGTGCTCAAAATTCGGACACTTGTCTCCTATTTATGATGGTCACTGTCTCTGGATCACCTTTTGTGACCTTCTGACAAGCAAATTCAATGGGAAAACCAGATTCACTTAACAACAGTTAAAACTTTGGTCAGGAAGGTCACAAAACGGGGCAAAAAAACTCACTTAACAACTGTTTCACTTAGAGAGAAAAATTTAGGGCTCAATTGTGATCAAGGACTATCTGTAATAGGTTCAAGGGTTAAAAAGAAGGGTAATTGAAAAAAATATATATTAAGGAAGAAGGCAATGCTGAGTCACTTTCATATTGTTGGCAAGAAAAATGCATGGATGTCTCCACAAAGTTACCAGAAGTTGGGTCACAACTTAGAGGAAACCTATTTTTTAAAGTATGCATAGATTGTGTTCATCTAGTATTCTTGAATGATTCTGGAAGATTGGATTATTAAAATATGTTCTGATATGCTTTTGCAACAATGATGTATTTTTTTAAAAAATAACAAATATTTTATATGTTCTGAAGTTCACTGTCTAAAGATCCGTTTCTTCTTCTACAGATATATTGACCAAAGTCCACTTGTGCAATGGGCCACATTTCATCTGCAGATGAATATCAGAGGTGATCTTTTGTTCAGTATCAGGGATTATTCTAAAGAAAAAGTTGTGAGTATTTTTAATGATTTCTACATTTATTATTTATTAATTTCTGGTGCAAGACCAAACCAACAAAGTTTAAAATCCATTCAGCAATTTTAAATAATTGCATATAATTTACATTTTTATTTTTTAAAAAAAAATTAGATTTTTTTAATTTAAATTGGATTTTTTTTATTTTTATCAAATTTATTTTAATAAAATGCTTTTAGAGTAAATATAGTTTTCTATTTAAGATACATTAATAATTTAGTTTATTCAGCATGAAATGGAGCTTAGTTATGTAGCATGAGGCTGTATATCAGGGGTGTCACTCGCAACGTCACATGATGTGTCACGACGTATCATGACTTTTTTTATCGTTGCCGGCAATGGGGTGGGCATGGTTTTATCATGATGCATCCGGCCCGTGGGCCGGCAGTTTGACATCCCTGCAGTATATTCTGCAATATTTACATTTTTGGTAAACTCCTTCAATGAATCCAAGCTCTGCAAGCTGAGATAACATACACTGCATTGATTCACACAATAATATTAAAGATTCTAACTATCAGCAAGAATGAATCTTTACATTTAAAGAGCACCTGTCATTTCAGATCCATCATGGTAGCACCTGTTAGCGGGCATCCACTCACCTGCTGCCCATCATGTTCCTTACCTTGTTGTGTCACTGCCGCATCACCAGCCGTCCTATTAAAGTGAATGGGACTGTTCGTGAGTCAACAGCGGGTCATAGGAGGAGCCGCTGTGGGACAAGAGATGACAGTTGCTCTTTAAAAATTATGATTTAAATCGAGTTGATTTAAATCAAGCCTTTTTACTTGGGATTTAAAAGCATAAAAAAAAATAGGATCAAAGTTGTGAGGGAAGGCAGCAATTGATTCTAGTGGGCCGAAGCTGCAGACAAAAATTTAGCTACCACCCTGGAACGTTTAAAAATTGATCGCTTAAAAGGAAAGCAATGATTTTCTCATTATGATGGAAATTCAACTTTGTAATAATTGAGGTTATAAGTTTTACTCATCATTTTCCATAAAATGGACATTTTAATAGATTGTGGGATGTGGATTCAATCTCCTTATCTGAAGATATACAAATATGATTTTTCTAGAAAGGTTGAAATATATTCCAATTGTCACCTTAATGCGTAGTGCATCAATTTGGATAAGAGAACAAAAGCCTCTTACGTGGAACATTCATATTTTTAATATATTTTTGATTTTTTTTACCCATTATTTTTTATAAATACCTCAAGGTGGTGAACATTTCTAATATTCCTAATATTCCTCTGGCCTATTTCTCAACTGTATTAGCCTGTGGATGTCTGCTGTGTGTTGTTGCCCAGCTGTTATTTTATATTATGTATAGTTTCAACTTACTGTTTTTATTTTGTTTATAATTGTTAGGACCCTAGTCATGCTCTTAAACCAGGGGTAGGCAGCCTTGGCTCTTTTATGACTCGTGGACTTCAACTCAGGAATTCTAGGAGTAGAAGTCCACGGGTCATAAAAGAGCCAAGGTTGCCTATCCCTGTCTTAAATCTTCAAACGACTCTGGCTACAGCCATCTTTCTTCGTTTTAGGTTTCCACAGCAATGGGAGCGGGTAGATGCATTCTTCTAGTTTAGTCATAACAATAACTTTCTTGTGGGAACCAAGGTCAAGTCGCCTAAGTGTTTGGCGGGCTGGAGCTACCGTTAGAGAGCCCGCCAAAGGTGTTTATTGGGGATTGTGATTTATGTCACATTTAGGGGTGGAGAGTTTAACTTTTACTTTGTAATCTTTTGGGGTGGGGAACTTTCAGTCTTTTACCTTTGTTCGTGCTGATATTATATGGCCATTAAAATTGTTCTTTGAGGAAAGCAATTGCCTCAGAGTTCTTATTTCTACTGGTCTCATCTATCGGAGCCATGACACATGGTTGAGATGGGGAGATGCACATTAAATAAATAAATGAACATTTGAAACATGTTTCTGGAAAAATTAAACAAATCATGTTAAAAAGGATTATATTAATCACAATTAAGAGATGAGATAAAACAGTATTAATATTTTTAATATTTTAAAAATAATATACTGATATATCTGAGGAAGATGGGTGGTTATGAAATATAACTAATCAATAAATAAATGTTGCTTTTCCTAAATAATTAAATGTATATCTCATTCTTCAATCTAATAGATCAACATTTCTCGATTATTTTGATTCTAATCCAGAAGTTGATAAGTACATTAGAGGGAAACATTAAGTACACCCTATCTTTCTTTGGCAACATGGTGGTCAGAGTGAAGCTTGAAATTGGATGTGCTTCTAATAAACTAATTGTGGCCCATTTCCAGATAGTGGAGAGCACTTTCCTGTAAAAGAGATCTCTAAGTATAGCTCCCCATAAAGTAACAATACACAGTTCCAAGACATTTTCTGACTCTTGGGAATGGCTCTTGAAAGAGGCAGAAATGGAAAAGGTGGAAATAGAAAAAATATACATGTTATTAAATGAAATTCAGCATGTTCAATTTATATGAACTTGTTCAGCATAATGCGGACATTATCAAAATTATGTCAAAAAAGGCAATACACCTATATTTTTCATTTTATACGTAGGAAAAAATAGTTGTATAGCACGTGTAAACCTGCTGATGTACAACGGCACAATACCACCTAAAGTGCCTTTGTGAGGGAAATGGGCCATTCAGATATGTGATAGATCAGTGGTTCTCAACCTGTGGGTCGGGACCCCATTTGGGGTCGAACGACCATTTCACGGGGGTCGCCAAACAACGCAGTTCGCCATTTTTTTCCCCCTTTTCCTTAGCTGTGCTACTCCCTTTTATTCTGTTGGCTTTTGAAAGCCAATAGAATAGACTCTCTTGAATAGAGTCTAATTCTATTGGCTTTTAAAAGCCAATAGGAATTGTCTAGGCTGTCTCTGCCCTGCTGAGCCCGCCAAAAGTCCCATTCTGCAAACGGTGCTGCACCAGTTGAGTACTCCTCGACTTACGACCGGTTGAGTAGTCCTTGACTTACGACCGGTTGGGGGTCGCGGCATTAAAAAGGTTGAGAACCACTGTGATAGATAGATAGATGTATTGGCCGTTGTGATCTTTTTGATACTTTGCTAACACCCCAATATCATATACTAATTAAAATATGTATACATATAAACACTGCCATAAAAATACAAAAATAAGGTTTGAGAAACCCATTTAAAGGATATAAACTACATAGAATAAGTATTCATAATAGCAATAAACATATATGCTTATAGTCATAGCAAAATTAGATTTTCTATGACAATCAAATGCTCTTGGTAATCTTGTTATTATGGATTCTTATCTATTAAAACAGATGCAAAACCATTTTGTTGTTGTTTTATTGTAACAAGGTTTTCATCTACTTTGAAAATCACTTCCACTGGACTACAGAGTCAAATTTTACTCTATGGCTATTTAAATGATATATGTTTTACTTTGAAAATAAAAATAAACCTGTTGAAATTTTTTTTTTAATATTTTAAATATTTTAAAATTTAAATATTTTAAATATAATATGTCCGTATATATGTGTGTTTGTGTAAGTGTGTGTGGGTATGTACATATACACACACTATATATATATAGTGTGTATATATATATATATATATATATATATATATATATATATATATATAAAGACTGTGTGGCATTAGCTCTCATCCCATTCCTGCCATTAGAAGAAAGGAGGATGAAAGGGTCTTGAAAGAGTTGAGTGTCAGCGATAAAACGGTAGGAGGAGCGATCCGGAAGAACGATAGAAGGAAACGCAAGGAGAGTAACAAGGAAACATCACAAATTGACCGGCCAGGACCAGTGACGCAGTCCAAGGGCCGGGTGCAAATGTCAGCCAAACCCATTTAAGTCATCGTTGTTTACTGGCTTCTTAGCCCTGATGATGTTGGGAGCCTCCCAACGAAAGCTCAGCGGTTTTTAGTAAAGTATATTTTTATACCTAAATTCTCCTGGTGGTCGCATTTTATTTATATTATAAACATGCCCAGGAGTCGTATTTTTATTCTTTGTTAGCAACCTAAAAATGCAAAATGATGTCGCAGTTGGCGACTGCTGCTTGTGGATGGCTCTGGATTGAGCTGATACAGGCAAAAGAAAAGAAAAGAAAGAAGATTTCTTTCTCCCATATTTGGGCTGATAGGGTGCACGTTCAAGGTAAATATATATATATATATATATATATATATATATATATATATATATATATATATATATATATATAGGGAAGAGTAACAAAGATAATAAGGGGTCTGGAGGCTAAACCATATGATGAATGGCTAAGCCTAGGGAACTAGGTATATATCTAGCCCAGGGGTAGGCAACCTTGGCTCTTTTATGACTCGTGGACTTCAACTCCCAGAATTCCTGAGCCAGCATGGCTCAGCTTGGAAACCTCTCCCTTTCCCCTCAGCGTGGCTGGCTCAGTAATTCTGGGAGTTGAAGTCCACAAATCATAAAAGAGCCAAAGTTGCCTACCCTGGGTCTAGCCTATCAAAGAAAAGGATTAGTACTTGAAGGGCTGTCACAAGGAAGAGAGTGTTGATTTATTTTCCATAGCACTGAGGGCAGAGCAAGAAGCAATGGGTGGAAACTTGTCAGAGGGATATTCAATAAGACGGAATTTCCCGAGAGTAAGAATAATTAATCAATGGAACAGCTTACCTCCTGGAATTGTAGATGCTCCGTCACTGGAAGTTTTCAAGAAAATATTGGACAGCCATTTGTCTGGGATTCAGTAAGGTCTCCTGGCTTGGGCAGGGGGTTAGACTAGATTCTAGAAGATCTCCAAAGATCCTTCCAGCCATGTGATTCAATGACTCTACAGTATAATACCCTATTATTTATTTCTTGAATATCGTCAAATCAAGATAAACACAGACATGAAACTAGCTGTGACTGCAGTGCATACCTGTGTATCGTTCATACTCTCATGTCACTAGGGGAACTGTTTAATTACTGTAAATATCCTGGATAATGTTTACATTTTCTTTATGTAGCAAAATAAAGATTTTGAAAGACTTATACATCTCTTACGTATATGTCCAAATGAAAGAACACCAAAAGACATTCTGCAGGTAAGAGATTAAAAAATAACTATGAACAATTATTTGATTGATAATTTTGAACACAATAATATGGATAAAATGTGTAGACAATTCTTGCTTATACAAGTATTCAGTCATTTCACTTATTTTTAACATCTGTTCTATACATTCTGTCACCCTTTTCCCCAAGTCTCCCAAAAGATAGTAGCCATTATTGTATGTAAATGTTGAATCATATTATTCATTTATTAAATGAAACACCATGTAGTTCCAATGATATCTATGCTAATATTTTTATATTTTAGTTGTGGCAAATTTATCCTTCCCTCTAAGAGGAAAGGAGATTTATGTGACTGGAGGGGTTTTTTATAGCCAAGAAATATTTCTTAATAATAAGCTGCATATAAAGACTTAGACCATTGTAATGATAATTCTGAACTGACTTCTCTAACAATGAGGTTACAAATTTTTAGAAATAATAGTACAGTATTATTGTAAGGCATGTGAGAGATTTTTAGATCTTTTACCTCTATTTCTATGCAGAGATCCAACAAATATATATGCTATGTCGGCTGCAACTTGCAGAGCACTGTATGACATACAGTCATACTGTATGACAGGGGTCTTCAAACTTGGCCCTTTTATGACTTGTGGACTTCACTTCCCAGAATCCCTAAGCCAGCGTGCCTGGCTGAGGAATTCTGGGAGTTGAAGTCCACAAGTTATAAAAGGGCGAAGTTTGAAGACCCCTGCTGTATGATAAGGGAAATGCTTAGTTTTCCATTTGACAGAGAAATGGGAGGGAATATTTCACTTTAGAGAACTTGCCTCTGATTTTGGAAGGAGGTGTAATTAGGAAATTCTACGGCATTTGGGATACTATCCAACAAAACCTAGCTTTTGTAGTTTTAATATGCTATGTAATTACTTTCACGTACTACTATATAAAGACACATTTTGTTAACTCTCTGTATAATAGACAGGCTTTTAGATCTCATAGATTTTTTATTTAAGTGTTTCAATATAAAAGCTTTTCTGTAAAGCTGATAAATATTGACAAGCGTTTTATCTTTTAACATTACATTATGAAATGTAACCTTACATATTGGGGCATTAACTAACAAGCTATGGTCTGTTTATATCTAAACCTATGCCAGAGATTTGTTTGACTCAATAAATATATGATTTATAAATCATTATTTCTTGCAACATTGACAATATTAGCAAAGTAAAATTATCCATCAGCTAATAATTGGCCTTGCTAGTGTAATTACTTGGATTTTTCCATTGGTAATTTGTCACAGAAATCATTTTAAAGAAAACATGATTCCCTGATTGGGAGTTCCTTGACAATAAAAACCATAACTGTTAAATTAGAAGTTTCTAGGAAACCTGATCTGTAGTTGTCTTTTTTCATATCTGTTCTCATTACTCACATATTTCATGAGATTCTGTGTGTTTTATGGACGCAAGAAAAATGTTTCATTGATTTTTAATAAGAGATCAACTTTAATTTGTTAAAAATATTGCTTTCGTTGCATTGTGATAAACTTTCCGTAACTTGCTGCATCATAGATGTGTCATAATTGCAAAAACTGTAATTCTCTGCTTTAGTCAAACTAAAATTAAAATTAGAATAGACATATAAAGAATTCTGGGAGCTCCAGTCAAAACAAATCTGTATTGTACATGATTGTGGAGATTATATCTGATTTCTGATAGTTTTGCTTTTTTTGGAAACTTTGAATTATCCCAATTCAGTTCTCTTGTGTTTTTTTTATTATTAATTACAATTTATGGGGCATGATGCTTATTTAAATTTTTCACTAGAAAAAAATATTTTTCAACCTCAGTACTGTATTTTAGAAATCATCTCTTTGCACAGGTGGTATTGCTATCTTAAAAACATAAATGAAAACCAGCTCTTCAACATCTTCATCAACGATTTGGATGAGGGGATAGGTGGGGAAATAATCAAATGTGCAGATGACACCAAGCTGGCAGGAATAGCCAACACTCCAGAAGACAGGCTTAAGTTACAGAAAGATCTGGACAGACTTGAACACTGGGCACTATCCAACAAAATGAAATTCAATGGTGAAAAAAGTCCTACATTTAGGCAAGAAAAACCAAATGCACAGGTATAGTATAGGGCAGTGGTGGCGAACCTATGGCACGCGTGCCAGAGGTGGCACTCAGAGCCCTCTCTGTGGGCACGCATGCCATCGCCCTAGCCCTGCCTCCCCCCATGGCCCCCCTCTCCAGCAGCCCCCCTGGAGGAGAGTCGCCCCCAGGCAAGGCCTCCACGGAGCAGTGCAGCCAAGGACATAGCCAGCCAGCAGGGACAAGATTCTGCTCTCACTTCACATAGTGTGCAGATGATGCTGCGGGGTGTGGGCGGAGGGCGTGGCTGCCATGGCGCTGCAGGGCTGTCTGGGCAATCTACTACAGCGGGCCATTGAGGCGGTGTGTGGCCCTGTGGGCGGGCAGAGCAGGGGGCGGGCGGGATCAGAGCAGGCAGGGCAAGAGGTAGAGCGGGGATGGGGGGGCGGATTTGGGGCACTCGGTCTCTAAAAGGTTCGCCATCACTGGTATAGGGGGTACCTTGCTCAATAGTAGTAACTGTGAGAGGGAACTCGGAGTCCTAGTGGATAATCACTTAAATATGAGCCAGCCATGTGCTGCAGCTGCCAAAAAGGCCAACACAGTGCTAGGCTCCATTAACAGAGGGATAGAATCAAGATCACGTGAAGTATTAATACCACTTTACAGTGCCTTGGTAAGGCCACACTTGGAATACTGCATCCAGTTTTGGTCACCACGATGTAAAAAAGATGTTGAGACTCTAGAAAGAGTACAGAGAAGAGCAACAAAGATGATTAGGGGACTGGAGGCTAAAACATATAAGGAACGGCTGCTGGAATTGGGTATGTCTAGTTTAATGAAGAGAAGGATAAGGGGGGACATGATAGCAGTGTTGCAATATCTCAGGGGCTGCCCCAAAGAAGAGGGAGTCAAACTATTCTCCAAAGCGCCTGAAGGCAGGACAAGAAGCAACGGATGGAAACTAATCAAGGAGAGAAGCAACCTAGAACTAAGGAGAAACTTCCTGACAGTTAGAACAATTAACCAGTGGAACAACCTGCCTCTAGAAGTAGTGAATGCTCCAACACTGGAAGTTTTTAAGAAGAGACTGGACAGCCATTTGTTTGAAATGGTATAGGGTTTCCTGCCTGAACAGGGGGTTGGACTAGATGACCTCCAAGGTCCCTTCCAACTTTATTATTATTATTATAAGAAACAAATTATCTAGCTTTTGTGATTATTTTACGTGCTTAAAAAGAAGTTCCCATTCCTTTTTTTCTAACAGATTGATAGATTTTTTTTACAAGCTTTGAGGATTAACATGTAAACCAGAGACCAGCCATACAGACTTTTAGCATACAACATAGACCACAAAACGAAATAAAAATAAATGCTTTAATTGGAACTTGATTGAAATCTTGCATGATCTCAAGTGAGAATGGCAAAACTTATCAGATTTGTCAGCAGTATGATGTGTGTATGAAAAGGCCAAAATGTCACATATGTTGTTGTTCTGTAGAAAGAAAGTTCTTACACCACTGACAGACTTTGTGAACGACAAGTTAGGAACAGTTGCCTCAGAAAGCTAACCCAAGTTATACTGAGGCAATGCAGAGTCAGTTTTATGAACAAAACACAGTTGTGATGTGTCAGCTTGTTATCCAACCCGTATAACAATAATTCTATTAAGTATTGTTCCTTGAATTGAATGTGTCATTTGGGATATGTCACAGAGTGCTTGCTACTCCATTAAAACAGACTTCCTTTTAGACAGTCTGAGAAAAGAGATGATATTTTAAAAGGACATAAAGTAGAGGTAAAGTAGCGAGGCTGGAAGTTTGTCCCTGACAAGGAAACAGAAAGCACTGATACTTTTCCTGATTTTGGATGAGATCTGAGAGTAAATATTAAGTTTACAGTTTCTGCCTAGCGCAGAGGTCCCCAACCTTTTGAGTACCAGAGACCAGTTCTGTGGAGAGAGATTTTTCCACAGACCGGAGGCTACGTGGCTTTGTGTGCTGCCTGCATCTCACGGATCATGCTTTGCTTGTTTATGCGGCCCGGTTGCTGGCATGCTACAGCCCAGTACTGGTCCATGGACCGGGGGTTGGGGACCCCTGGCCTAGAGTCACTGAGAGTTGGATGGCATACATGTTTAATTATGGTTTGTCACAAAGTCAGATATTCAAACTGGATTTGGCATTTTTATCCACCTATCCAGTCCTTCCCAAGGACCTGGGAAGGTGTGGATGTTTTATGGAAGAGGTCCCCAACCTTTGGGCTGGGGCTCACTACCGGGCTGTGGCCTATTCGGAATTGGGCTGCATGAGTGGCGGCCTGGATCGTGTGCGTGCAACTCAATTTGCGCAAGAGATAGTCTGGCGGATCCATCACTTGTGTGCATGCTGGTTTACCACTCACACAAGGGCTGCATGTGTGTGCACGTCAGCCTACCGCTCGTGCAGCCCAGTTCTCCTCTTTCAACCCCAGCCAGGCTGCCAAGCCACATAGGTTATGGTGTTAGAAGTATCGTCACAGGATGTAAGCTGTTCCAAATAAAGTTGCAGTTGACTGATGGTGATTTTGTCAGTGCCAATGTTGTTCAAGTGATGCTCCAATTGTTTGGAGATTACACCCAAGATGCCTATTACTATTGGGTCTACTTTTGGATGGCTTTTTGCCACAATTGTTCTATTTCTATTTGCAGACTTTTGTGTTTTGGTATCATTTCCAGTTCCTTCTCTTCCATTCTGCTGTCTCCAGGTTATCATTATCATTCTGGGATACTTAGAAATGTCACCATATTAGGCTGTTTAATTTCTTTCAAAGCTAGGACAAAAGCTTTGCTCCCCTAATATTCTTTGAAAATTGTTAATAGATTCTTACATCTGCGAATTTTAAAGCTTAGAGATCCTATCACTGGGTTTCTTAGTTAGAAAATAAAAATTCTTTGCATTCAGTTGTAATAAAATACACACCTCTCCATTTGCCATGCACCAAGGAAGAAAAGATGTGGCCTAACAATCGGAATGACTTAGTCTCATAAAGCTAAAATGAGGCAGGCCACAATATTTAGAACATTAAGATGTTGAAGATGTGCATAGTGATACATCGATAGTGCCTTGCCTTCAATACCTGTATTGCTTATAAAATATGTTTTCCTCCTGCCCCCCGCAGATGCAATTGTGCTTGAAGACAAACAGAGCTTTTCGCAGCTTCCCCAGCAATGCACAACAGAAGCTTTGCCAAGCTTTCATCTACCAAAAGTAAGTAAAAAGCCTGGGTGATAAAATAGGACAGCAAATGAGATCCAGTCCATAAGCTCTCTTCAGAAAGCTAGGTCAGAAGGTGAATGTTTTTCAAGAAAGCTAAAAATTTTCCAATTAAATATTTATCGTTCTTTAGAAATGACCTGCCCCATTAAAATAAAATATTGACAGATGGAAGCTACACAATATTACTTTGGTATTCCATGATTCAACAGCCGCCTTCTAATGGAATGCTTCTAGACCTTTGGTGACTAAGAAAATTACAGTATAGATGGCTGTTACTTTGAAAGATAATGTATAAAGCTCATTAAAGGTGTGTATTGTTTTTTTTCCTAGCTGGCACTTTACAGCTTGTCTATAAAGTTTCCTACGGATCTTCATTTAGTAAAGTGAACATTTTCAAGATGAGGACAAATATTAGAGGAGATTATTTAGCTACGATGCCTAGTTTTGTTTGCAACTTGCATAATTCACAGATGTATTTGTTGGCCCACTCACCTGATGCCTCAAATACCCTTTAAAAATGAATGAATTCAAGCACTTTTAAAAAATTGGCCTTTATTATTTTTTAAATGGATTTTTTTAAAAAATGGTTCAGAATTATTTTAGGAATGTGGCAGGACTGCGATTTTATAAGTGTAAGGAAATATATTCTTTGCGAAGATGGATCCTCTTGATTAATGCTAGAAATGGACAATTGTTCAGAATGTAATTTGGAGGCAGTGTTGTCATTTTCTTAAAGAAGCTGCGCTGAAATATATTTGAAGAGATGGAAGTGACTTTGCTGAACTCAGATGTATGGCAATACAATAGCAATAAGCATTTAGACTTATATACCGCTTCACTGGGCTTTACAGCCCTCTCTAAGCAGTTTACAGAGTCAGCGATTGCCCCCAACAATCTGAGTCCTCATTTTACCGACCTCGGAAGGATGGAAGGCTGAGTCAACCTTGAGCCGGTCAGGATCGAACTGCCAAACGGCTGGCAGTTGGCAGACAGCAGAATTAGCCTGCAATACTGCATTCTAACCACTGCGCCACTATGGCCCTTCATGGCAAAGCAATGAAGTTCATGAATATTTTGTGTCAGATTATACCATTTCTAAAATTGCAAAAAAATATCATTTTCCACTTAATAAAGGAAAAACCCTTCTAAATATTAGTGTAATGATGCCTTAATTCAAATAAAGTACCAGAGCAATTATGTTGCTAGGCTTCCCTGCATTGTATCCAATCAAAAACAAGAAAAATCTTTACAGAGGGATGCTAAAAAGAGATGCAAAGTATCGCCAAAACTGAACACATAACAGAATAATCAGAGAAGCCATCGAGATAGAAAAACGCCCACACAACATGAACAAACAAGATGATACCTCCCGCCTACCAGCCATTTGGAAACCCGCCCTTATTGACAAACGAGTCCCTAACACAAAGAATGACATCAGACCCACACTTACAAAAGCCACACAGGATGTCACCACCACACGTCCACAGAAAAAGCAAACCCAAACCGACACCGATGATGAGGCACGACCACAAACTAGAAGCCAGACCACAGCTGCATCATTAGCCATTTTAAACCCCTCCAATCCATACATGAAGCAAACTGACACCCACCATGAAGATAAGGCACAACCACGAACGCAAAGCCAAACAATAGCAATGCAGCTCACCATCTCACATCCCCGTGCAACTCAGACTAACCTGAGCACAACAAAGCCCCCACCCAGAACACTCTCCCAACCAATCAGAGCACAGCCAACCCCTCATCCAATCAGAGCACAGCCAAGCTCCTAACCAATCAGAACACATCTCCATCCAATCAGAACACAGCCAAGCTCTCATCCAATCAGTTCATACCCCCATTGGCAGTTAAAAGAAGAAACAGCTACGATCACACATTGCTCCTAGAAGCTGAAAACACCAGCCTGAAGATAATGAATGAGACTTTGTCGAAACGTCGCCAAGACACTTCCAATTTGATGCAGGAGAAAATCCGAATAACCAAAGACCTACATATATATGTGTGTGTGTGTGTGTGTGTGTGTGTGTGTGTGTGTGTGTGTGTGTTTTCTGAGATTTTCGTGGGTGTTTGTATGTAGGTCTTTGGTTATTCGGGTTTTCTTCCGTGTAAAATTGGAAGTGTCTTGGTGACGTTTTGACAAAGTCCCATTCGTCATCTTCAGGCTGGTGTTTTCGGCTTCGTGCTCCTAGAAGCACGAAACCGAAAACACCAGCCTGAAGATGACGAATGGGACTTCGTCGAAACATCGCCAAGACACTTCCAATTTTACGCGTGAGAAACCCTGAATAACCAAAGACCTATACATACATACATACATACATATATATATATTATAATGACATATTCCTAAAGATTTGTCATCTATTCCATACACGGATATCCCTTCTTAAACATTGGTTGCTGATTGCATTCTAAATATTTTAGGAAATGACTTCTAAAATATTGTTTTTACAGGTATATAGCTGGAACAGTCATTATGAAACAAGGACACATGGCCACTGAATGTTACTTATTGTTGTCTGGCAAGCTGAAATTTATGATAACTAATGAAAAATTTGAAAATGGGATTTTGGCCTCCGAAGCATTATATGAACTGGAAGAAGAAGATTTCATAGGGGTAACTACTTTCCTCTTTATAAAATAAAATAATTTGTGCAGATGCCACTTTACAGCGTAGAGCAGGGGCGTCAAATTGGTGGCCCGTGAGCCAGATGCGTCACACGCAGGCCACACCCACCCCAGCTCCGCAAAGGCAAAAAACGCTGCGATACGTCACGCTATGTCACGTGACGCGATCTAGCTTGACACCCATGATGTAGAGAGTTAAAACACAAAAGAGAAATGTGCCACGAATAATATTAAACTTGTATTAAGAAAGTATGTATAACGATTTGATTACTAGGGATTTTAAATGTTTCCAGTAAATAATCCAATTTCTATGGAGTGTAAATAGTTTTCATGGAAAAAAGAGAGCACCCATTGAGAAAGGAACCATGGCAAAATGGGACCTCTGATTCCCAACCCAATTGGGCAGGCCAATAAGATACCATGGCCAACAGTATCAAAAGTTGCCAAGAGGTCTAAGAGAACACGTTCCCTTCATTCAGGTCCCAACATCGATCATTCAGGAGAGTAACCAATGTCGCCTCTGGCCCAGACTCTAAATAATTCATTTATATAGACCAGGGGTCTTCAAACATGGCCATTTTATGACTTATGGACTTCAACTCCCAGAATTCCTCAGTCCACAAGTTATAAAAGGGCCAAGTTTGAAGACTCCTGATATAGACTGTGCAGCTGATTGGCCTCATCATCTCAACAACCTTCTCCAAAGAGGAGACATTGGATACAGAATGATAAGAGTAATTTTGATATAAGTGACTAATATGCTTTTTGTACATTCAAATTAGTAAATTTATAGAAAGGTAGACTCAAACTACTCTTGTATTTCAAGGAAACCTGTCTATTGACTAATACGAGACGTCCTGCTTCAGTTATTTGTAAATCTGATACCGAACTTCTTGTGATTGACACAAAGGTATGGGATATAGACTTTTTTTTTCATACAAAATATTTTAAATTTGGCAGTGTCAGCATTTGCTTGAAGAGGTCCATTCCAGCTGTAACATTGATGTACACAATATCATTAGCAAAATTGTTTTTGTTTAATCCAGTGGTTCTCAACCTTTCTAATGCCGCGACCCCATAATACAGTTCCCCATGTTGTGGTGACCCCCAACCACTTATACATCACCGGGTGCCAGGGATGTGGCCAAAGAAAAGGGGGGGAAAATGGCGGACAGCCTTGTTTGGCGACCCCCATGAAATGGTCGTTCGACCCCAAATGGGGTCCCGACCCACAGGTTGAGAACCACTGGTTTAATCTGTTTCCGAGATGTTGGTTTGTTGCAGCACCAGCAAAAAGTTATTTTGTAGTATGGTAAGATCTAGTGCAAAGGTCCCCAACCTTTTGGGCACCAGGGACCAGGTACATGGAAAGAGGTTTTTCTGCGGACCGGAGGGGATGTGGTTTTGTGTGCTGCCTGCATCCTGCAGATGGGGTTTTGCTTGTTTATGCAGCCTGGTTGCTGGCATGCCACGGCCCAGTACTGGTCCACGGACAGGGGTTGGGGTCCCCTGATTTAGTGCATGAGTTAAAGCATAAATTTCTGCAGACCCTTTTAATACAACAATTTAACTGGATGGTGGATTATATGGGAAGGAAAGGAAACTCAAAAGGTGAATCAGGATGAGTAAGCCATCCAGCTCTGTTTGTGATAATACTGATTGTAACATCGTGGATTTTAATTTTTTTCAAAAATATTTGCCACAGAGGAAAACCATTAAAATGGTAGGAAGTACCAACCTACCAGCTGTACCTTCAGCAGCTGAGCGGAATAACTGATAACTGTAGATCAGTCTCTTCCTTTAGAACGATGTACAACATAAAAGTTCATCAGATCGTTGATTGTAATGATAAAGAAATTATTTTAATATTAAATTTAATTACAGCGGCAAGGTTGTTGATGGACAATATTGGAAGCAGGAATTTTTGCCTACCTTGGAGGAATGGTTTTTAAAAGTTTCTTATTTATCTGAAATGGCAAAAATTTCTGCTTATCTGAAAGATCAATCGCAAGAGAAATACCTTTTGGTGTGGCAAAGATGGATAAACTTTATACAGTATAAGTATGATATTAAAAGATATTATTTAGCTTTTGAATAATTTATGGTTTAAAGTTTAAGACAACAAGTATTTTTTTATTGTATATATATATATTGGACTTTTTTGTTATATATATATATTGGATTTTTTTTTAATGTAATTTTTGTTTTAGGTTTACTTAAGTTTAAATACTTTGTATTTTTAGTTCTTGTTAACCCTGTATTCAGCTCTGGGAAGAGGGGGGGAGGGATTTTGGGAGGGCTGGGAAGTAGTGGGAGGGATATTATTGTAAAATTGTAAAACTTTTAATAAAAAAAAAATGTTTATCAGATCGACAGGGAAGAGGAGATCACCAGATCACCTGTGTCATTAATACAGGGCTGTAGAGCAGTGATGGCTTTTAGAGACTGCCCAAACTTGCCGGGTGCCAGGTGGCCGTGGCCCACTGGATGGGCGTGGCTGTGATGGTCATAGCAAATTGGGTGGGTGTGGTCAAGGTGGGCGTGATCACCTCAATGTTGCTCGTGGGGAGGGATGCCTGTGGGGGCCGGGCAGGGTTGGGGTCTCTGGCAGGTGGGGCGGTGGGAAGGAGGCTCGTCCTGCAGGGCGAGGCAAGGTGAGGCAGGGCGCCGGTGCCATTGTCACAGCGCAAGGTGAGGCAGGGGCCGGGACAGCTGCTGCCTGACACCATCGGCCCCTGCACACAAAGGCCAGTGAGCGCATGGGTCCTGGGATGCATCCAGCCACGTGGGACCTTAGCTGAGTTAGTGGGTGGCTGGTTGAAGAGGGACGGTTGCCATCTCCGGGGCATGGCGCGTGTGCCCACAGAGAGGGCTCTGAGTGCCGTCTCTGGCATGCGTGCCATAGGTTCGCCACCACTGCTATAGAGCACTGATATGATACAAGGGAAAGGAATACAGGTAGTCCTCAATTTATGATCACAATTGAGCCCAAAACTTCTGTTGTTAAGTGAGACATCTGTTAAGTACATTTTGCCCCATTTTACGACCTTTCTTGCCACAGTTGTTAAATGAATCACTGCAGTTGATATGTTAGTAACCCAGTTGTTAAGTGAATCTGGCTTCCCCATTGATTTTGCTTGCCAAAAGATTGCAAAAAAGGATCAGGTGACCTTGGGACATAAGTATGAACCAGTTGCCAAGCATCTGAATTTTGATCGCATGATCGTGGGGACGCTGCAAAGGTCGCAACTGTGAAACATGGTCCTGCGTCACTTTTTTCAGTGCCGCTGTAACTTTGAACGATCGCTAAATTGAACCGTTGCACTTCGAGGACTACTTGTATGCACCAACATTTTCAGAAATAAGATGGATTTCCCACATGCAGGCCTCTTGGAAATTTCCAGAATATGTATCCCACTACAGGAGATAGTCCAGAGCAAGCAACAACTAATTTCTCACTCACTCTATTTCTGACGGAAGCCAACTCTATAAGCGCCCCGAGCAAAAAGGCAGAACGTGTGATATTAATTGTATTAATTATTTAAGACAGCGTCCTCATTTATGCTTTCAACCACAGTCCTGTGAAAGAAGTAATGTATGAGCCAAAGCACCTGCATTGTTGCTGGTTCCTCTTGAAGACTTGCCCATCTATTTTCTCTTCCTGAAAAAAGAGGCGACAACAGCAGAAGACAATGAATGAGTGGAGGCTGCCAGGGATTTGGTGCATCCAGATTGTTTCCTATTTGAGGCTGTTTCTTCACAAATGATGAAGATTTACACTGTCTTCAGAGCATCACCTAGTCCAGGGGTCTTCAAACTTGGCCCTTTTATGACGTGTGGACTTCAACTCTTAGAATTCCTCAGCCAGCCATGCTGGCTGAGGAATTCTGGGAGTTGAAGTCCACAAGTCATAAAAGGGCCAAGTTTGAAGATCCCTGACCTAGTCATTACTCGTTAGTGTTATTTGAACATAATGATGGATGAATGGCTCTAGAACAGTGGTTCTCAAGCTGTGGGTCGGGACCCCATTTGGGGTCGAACGACCATTTCACGGGGGTCACCAAACAACGCAGTCCACCATTTTTTCTCCCTTTTCCTTAGCTGTGCTACTCCCTTTTATTCTATTGGCTTTTGAAAGCTAATAGAATAGACTCTCTTGAATAGAGTCTAATTCTATGGGCTTTCAAAAGCCAATAGGAATTGTCCAGGCTGTCTCTGCCCTGCTGAGCCCGCCAAAAGTCCCATTCTGCAAACAGTGCTGCACCAGTTGAGTAGCCCTCAACTTACGACCGGTTGAGTAGTCCTCGACTTACGACCGGTTGGGGGTCGCGGCATTAAAAAGGTTGAGAACCACTGCTCTAGAAGATATTGTCCTTAGTAGACAAATAGCAATAGCACTTAGACTTAGATACCGCTTCATAGTATTTTACAGTACTCTTAGCAGTTTATAGAGTCAGCCTCTTGCACCCAACAATCTGGGTCTCATTTTACTCACCTCGGAAGGATGGAAGGCTAAATCAACCTTGAGCCAGTGAGAATTTAATTGCAATTACTGCAATACTGTATTTTAACCATTGCACCTCCACGGCTCTTATGACGCAAATGGCCGAGGCAACAGAGCAAATCATAATCCTTTCCTCACTCCCTTGAGTTACCATATCCTTCAAGATTATTTTGTACCCAAAGCACAAGTTTGTATAGTTATTTAGTAGAATGCAAGTAAAGGGTTTACTGACACTTCCTGAAAAGAAAGACTGGTAGAAATTTAAGAGAATTTGCGGTTTGGAAGGAGTGCTAGGAGAGGTAATGGACAGCTGAATAGAAAGAAAGAGGGAGGGGAATGGAAGCACTGGTGGCTATTCTGTACTTAAGCTGGAAAGAGATTTTTGTGATCTTTAGAGAGAAACACCTTATAAGCATCAATTTGACATGTGCAAATTCAATTTAATTAAACAACAGTTTTGCAGAAGTTATATTGAGCTATCTATATTTTAAAGATTTCTTGACATGGCAATAAAACATATTCCTCTGGCTATCCAAGGTCCAAATTATAGATCTGTGTAATACTGTCATATAATTTTATGTGTGTTATGTTGTAAAGGCTCATTCAAAGAAAATAAGAATTGGATTTTCTTCTCTTAGTCTTCAATTCTATTCTGGTCTGGATCCAAAATGCATTTTAATACACTAGAAGTGAAAGTGGATGGTTTCTATTTTGCACCTGGGTACATTTATAATCCATTAGTTTGCCATATTGTTCATATATTTCTGTAATGATTCTCATTAGAAAATTTTATGCAGAAGTGCAAATGGGAACAATGAAAGAACATTATGCTTTAATAATCTCTGAAAACAACACAGATATTATATTTTTCATTCAATCTCTTGTTATTATTTGTGGAATAATAATAATAATAATAATAATAATAATAATAATAATAATAATAATAATATAGAGTTGGAAGGGACCCCCTGATCAGGCAGGAAACCCTACACCATTTCAGACAAATGGCTGTCCAGTCTCTTCTTAAAAACTTCCAGGGTTGGAGCATTCACGGCTTCTGGAGGCAGGTTGTTCCACTGGTTATTTGTTCTCACTGTCAGGAAGTTTCTCCTTAGTTCTAGGTTGCTTCTCTCCTTGATGAGTTTCCATCCGTTGCTTCTTGTCCTGCCTTCAGGTGCTTCAGATTCTTGTGAGAATCACAGGAGAAAGAGTGATAAACTTTGAGAGGACCTTCATATTTTCGCTGATGTGCTTTTCTGACTAATAATCAGGAGATAGCCAGAAGTTTCATACAATTGTATGTTGATTTGTTAATAAGTTTGTCCATCAAATGGAAAGTATGTGGTAAGGCAAAGGTTGATAAGATCCATGATGTTGGGTGTCTCAGTCTTTGTGCATTTGGTTAAGTTGGATGTCCTGTGGAGCAATATCGTCATAGATTCTTTGGCTAATTCTGGGTCAATGGACATGAAAAGGACTGTCATAGGTGATGTCATCTATTATCATGTCATTGATTCTCTGACCATCTTAGGTCCAAGCCAAGCCAAGTCCAAAAAAATGCTAGAGAATTCCTGGAAGTCTGGCACTCTGACAAATTGGCCATCGATAGAAACATAAACAACATCTACATAAGATACAAAAGAGACAATCAATAAACCAAAAAAGGGATAAAAAGACGAAAACATCTTCTCACCAGCAATCAACACTCAGATGATCACAGATTAACACCTGATTAACATCAGACCAACAATGAAGAAGTAAACAATACCCCAAACAAGGAATTGTAAAACAAACTAACAATAAACAGCACAACCAAAGTATTCTAAGACCACCCCCATCAAGATTGAGAGGGCAAGTCACTAGAACAGGGGTGTCAAACTGACAGCCCGCGGGCCGGGTGCATCATGTGCAGGCCACACCCACCCAGCTCCGCAAAGGCAAAAAACATCACGATACGTCACAATATGTCATGTGATGTGACCGAGTTTGACACCTGTGCACTTGAATATAAACTGAGAGCATACCCCACTCCTTACTAGCACTGATGTTGTTACCTAGTTTGGATAATGAAACGTCTACAAGAAAACCAAGCTCAGAGAGCACCAAGAATCCTTTATTTCAACCGTGAGCTACAAATATTCTCTTTATTGATAAGATTACTTTTTCAGAAATATACAAGTGACAGACTCTACAGGCTTTTGTGCTATAAAATTGGTGCTTCAAAAACAGTAGTAATAGTGGTTACAGAGCAGTTGGGTTAGCACAGTGGTTCTCAACCTTTTTAATGCCGCAACCCCCAACCGGTTGTAAGTCGAGGACTACTCAACCGGTCGTAAGTCGAGGACTACTCAACTGGTGCAGCACCGTTTGCAGAATGGGACTTTTGGCGGGCTCAGCAGGGCAGAGACAGCCTGGACAATTCCTATTGGCTTTTGAAAGCCGATAGAATTAGACTCTATTCAAGAAATGGTCATTCGACCCCAAATGGGGTCCCGACCCACAGGTTGAGAACCACTGGGTTAGCAGTTTCAGGATCTGGAATATGAGGAAATTGTGTAATTTAATATATTTTAAATGTTTAATTCTCGGAGGAAAAACATTGAGCAGGTGAAAAAGACTTCGGAAAGAAAAAAATCAACCACACTTTGCAACATTGCCTGCGTTGAAATAAATATCTACAGAATGAAAGTGTTAATAGTTTAGAATTTCTCATATATTTTTAATACGTTCTAGCTTTGGTAGCTGAATATGTAGTAAATGAAGATACAAGAGGATGAATCATCACGCTGGTAATACCGCCAGCATCAGACATTAACTTTAAATATTTATGTTTTTCCATGATAAAAGTTGTGACGTGCACTTGAAAGAGTGAAGAAGTTTCTCCCTGTTCAAGGCAAGGCTTTATATCACCTGGCATTGTGGCAGAAATTGATAGAGGCGGTAATATCCTTTCCTCGGTGGTTTCCAAATTCAGTTTGGAAGTTTGCTTGACCTTTTTACTATTGTAGTTGGCAGTTTGCTTGACCTCTTCACTATTACTAACTAAGAGATTGAGGAGAGTAACAGAAGTAAATTAGCTAAAAGGGGGGTACAGATTTCCCTGAAGACAGAAATGAATAGAGAGAAGTTTTAAGAATATTATGATGAGTGTGATCTTGTTTAGTCTGGTGTCTTGGGATTAACTTCTGATGGGTAAGTTTAAAATCCCAATTTTCGTTTATGTTTTACATCTTTGAAATAGACACATTAAGCAGCTTTTCAGATCTAAACCACCTTTAAATTTTAGACTAAGACTTCTCTTCCATGGCAATTCCCTCCTTCCCTTGCTTTTCAGATGTATTCACCTAAACCAGTGACGGTGAACCTTTTAGAAACCAAGTGGCCAAACTGCAACCCAAAACAAACTTATGCATCGTGAGTATCGGGTGGGTGTGGCCCATTGGGTGGGCGTGGCTGCGGTGGTAACAGCAGACTGGGTGGGACTAAAAAGTTCAATCAATTAATTCCAATTTTGCAAGATTTTTTTTTTTTCCGTGAGAAGTTGAAATTGACTGATTGATTGAACCTTTTTTTTTTTTTTTGCACATGGCGGTGGGGGCCTAAAGCGAAAAGGTTTTATAAAACCCAGCTGAAGGCCTAGGACTGGGGTGACAGCGCATGTGCCCACAGAGAGGGCTCTGAGTGCCACCTCTGGCACCCGTGCCATAGGTTCGCCACCACTGACCTAAACATTAATGTACACCTTTAAATTTGAACCCGTCTTAATTCTGACATTGAGGATTAATCTACCTGTGGGCGATATTTAACTAGCTCAGATTCAAATACAATACTATACAGGCAGTCCTCAAAGTACGACTACAACTGAGCCCAAGTTTTCTGTTGCTAAGCAAAACACTTATTAAGTGATTTTTGCCCCATTTGATGATCTTTCTTGCTGCAGTTGTATCGCTGTAGTTGTTCAGTTAGTAACATGGTTGTTAAGTAAATCTGGCTTCCCCAGAACTAAGGAGAAACTTCCTGACAGTGAGAACAATTAACCAGTGGAACAACCTGCCTCCAGAAACTGTAAATGCTCCAACACTGGAAGTTTTTAAGAAGAGACTGGACAGCCATTTTTCTGAAATGGTTTAGGGTTTCCTGCCTGAGCAGCGGGTTGGACTAGATGACCTCCAAGATCCCTTCCAACTTTATTATTATTATTATTGACTTTAGTTGACGGAAAGTCACAAAAGGGGATCACATGAACTGGGATTCTGTGACTGTCATAAATATGAATTAGTTACCAAGCATTTGAATTTTGATCATGTGATCATGGGGTTGCTGCAATGGTCGTAAGTGTGAAAAATGGTCATAAGCCACATTTTCAATGCTGTTATAACTTTGAACGGTCACTAAATGAACTCTTGTAAATCAAGGACTACCTGTACCAGAATATGGATAATACTTAAAAGAGAAGGATGGTGGGATTTACATCTAGCTAACATGACAAAGCGGAAAAAGAGATGGCAGTCACAATCTATGCCAGGGGTAGGCAACCTTGGCTCTTTTATGACGTGAGGACTTCAAATCCCAGAATTCCTGAGCCAGCATGGCTCAGCTTGGAAGCCTTTCCCTTTCCCCTCAGCGTGGCTGGCTCATGAATTTTGGGAGTTGAAGTCCACGAGTCATAAAAGAGCCAAGGTTGCCTATCCCTGACTATGCCATGGTGAAGAGGACTATTGTGAAGCACAAAATAGCTAATTATAAACAAATTTGTTGTTCCTTCTTCATTTAACAGGTTTTTGAATGTGCTCTTGCCAGCATAAGGTATGAACAACACCATGCAACTTGCTGCTTTTTAAGGTAACTGGTTTTTTTTTAAAGAAGTTTGTGTTTTAGACAAGCGATTAGCAACTGCAGACTTATAAAAGCAACTTTTTTTTTTACAATATCTTGAGATTGAGCTTTCTGGCTAGATTACAATAACTCCCTATTCATTCTGTGACTTTTGTATATAGAACGTATGCATTTGATAGGCAGCAATGTTAATTTCAGATAGTTTAGATCAAAACTAGTAATATGTCAATCCCAGAACTTTGAAATGTTATAAAATAAAAAGATCATTGGAAATAAAGGAAATAAAATTAAAAAACTAAACCATGTGATAATGAGAAGCATAAGCTTGCTTGCTTTAGTACAATTTCTGATACCTGGCTTGTATTTGGAAGACTTAGCATAATCAAGGGGGAAAAATGAAAATATCTTTCTTGCCATAAATCGCCTTTTCTTAAACTGTCCTTTAAATCAGAGGTCACCAAGCTTTTTTGGTTGGCGGATTGGAGGGAAAGGGAGGGGGAAGTGATATACACACTCATGCATGCGCGCACACATGGGCCCGCAACTATGCGTGTGATGCAAATGGGGTGGGGCTAGCGCTTGCGTGATATTTGCTAGCCCTGCCCCATTCTTGTGCACAGTGCTGTGTTTCCGCGCCCCAAGGTGTGGCGTTGGGCTGTTTTCTTACCGTGAAGTGTGGCGGGATCCCATTTTCATGCACTGAGGCACAGCGTTGTCCCATTTTCACACTGCGGCAGTGCAGCATCCTGTTTTTGCACCCCACAGTGCAGCAGCATCCCATTTTTGTGCCCCACGGTGCGGGGCATCCTGTTTTTGCACTGTGCAGTGCGGCATCCTTTTTTTGTGCCCCACGGCTAGCATGAGTGTGGGGTGTGTGCACGCACATGTGCCTGCACCGACCAGCCTGTCCCACAGCCCAGTGGCCAGCAGTCCATAGCGCACTACCGGTCCGCGGCCCACAGGTTGGGGACCCCTGCTTTAAATTATGCAGCTTGCAAAACACTGGCAGGCTGATTCTTACCGTATATTCCGGCGTATAAGACAACTTTCGCAAGCGTTAAAATTGGCGCCGAAGTCGGGGGTCGTCTTATACGCTGAGTCGTCTTATACGCCGGAAATACTGGTACTTGCCGGCGTATAAGACGACTTTCTAGGCATGAGACTCAGCGCCGAAGATGGGGGTCGTCTTATACGCCAGGTCGCCTTATACGCCAGCATATACGATGTTTTGAGATGTAGTATAACTGCGGGGAAATAACACTCATCATCCTTACTTTTCACTCCTTCTTTAGAGTTAATATGCCAATGGCTGATTAGAGTCCTTGTGCCCCCACATAACTGTTCTTCTTCTTAAAGGAAAAATGGTGTGTGTAATTTCACTCTTCATTCAAAAAGATCATTTGTTTACACTGATGGCATTTAGTGTGCTTCGTATATGAATTCTCTTTAAGGAAAAGACACTTAGGAAAGTACTCACACCCCTGTCTTATGTTCATTCTGGAAATGAGAAATTCTGGTTGAATAATAATAATGTCAGGTGGTAAAAATTTGGCAACTGGACAGAGGACTGCAACTGGAAAGAAAACGTTACTACTAAACAAAGCTATAAATCAACCTAATTTAACAACCACAGTTGAGACCAGCAATTCAGTAGTTAAGCAAAGTGGTTGTAAGTGCAACCACAGCTATGCTTATGATCTTACTTCAGCTTTGCTTTGTTTTGTAGACCCATAAGGGTCATAAATGCAAGGATTGGTTTCTTGCAAATATGTGGCAGTCACTAAGTGAGTATTACCTGTACTGCATAGAGGAGGGATGTCAAACTGCCAGCCCTCGGGCTGGATGCATCATGCCAAAACTGCGCCCACCCCATTGCCGGCAATGGGAAAAAAGTCGCGATACATCGCAACACGCCACGTGATGTTGCGAGTTTGAGACCCCTGGCATAGAGCATCTCTGTCAGTTTGGTTGCGAGTTATAGAGATTGTAACAGCCAATTTTATTAAAATAATCTGCACTTGCAGTCTTTCCTGGAGAAAAGGGCTATGTCTTAAGAGGAAAAAAATAAAAGGGATAAAAATTTTATTCTGTGCATCTGTTCTAAACGTAATAGATGTTAAGGGATTATAAAAAGGAAAGCAAATCTTTGGCTTCCACCTAGGAGTGATCAGTCATTCTGCCCTTGGATGTTCACAAGACCGTGTCAAACTCAAGCTCTCTTACAGAGCAGATTATACTCTTCAGATCTGTTTAATATTTCATACATATATGGGTTATTTTTGCTTCAAGCCCATAATTAATATATGCATTTAGCTGTAAAGTATCTCAGATATCCTTACATCTAACAGCAACACTGACAAATGCATAATGAGATCATTCTCATTTTAATGTTTACAAAAGATATATACTTTACAAGTATCTAAAACTCTTCACATAGTACTACATATTAATAAACACTTATATTTGAAGCTTCCTGCTTTGTTTAGGCTGGTATACCTATAATAATAATAATAATAATAATAATAATAATAATAATAATAATAATAAGAAGAAGAAGAAGAAGAAGAAGAAGAAGAAGAAGAAGAAGAAGAAGAAGAAGAAGAAGAAGAAGAAGAAGAAGAAGAAGAAGAAGAAGAAGAAGAAGAAGAAGAAGAAGAAGAAGAAGAAGAAGAAGAAGAAGAAGAAGAAGAAGAAGGAAGAGAAGAAGAAGAAGAAGAAGAAGAAGAAGAAGAAGAAGAAAGAAGAAGAGAAGAAGAAGAAGAAAGAAGAAGAAGAGTAAGAAGAAGAGGAAGAAGAAGGTCTGGATAGTGGACGTGGCAGTGCCTGGAGATAGCAGAATAGAAGAGAAAGAACTGGAGAAGATAACAAAATACAAAGACCTACAAATAGAAATAGAAAGACTGTGGCAAAAGCAAGCAAGGGTAGTACAAATAGTCATAGGCTCCTTGGGTGCAATCCCAAAACAACTGGAGCACCACTTGAACACAATTGGCATTGACAAATTCGCTATTAGTCAATTGCCAAAGGCGGCCTTATTAGGAACTGCTTCCATCCTGCGACGATATCTGTAATACCATCAAACATCCACATCTGCCTATCCCAGGTCCTGGGTAAGGACTCGATAGGTAGACAAAATGCCAAATCCAGTCTGAACATCTGGTGACTGTTCGATGATGATTAATAGTAATAATAATAATAATAATAATAATAATAATAATAATACATAATAATAATAATAATAATAAGGACACAAGGGACTAATTCTGGCTGCACAAGACCAAGCCTTAAGGACAAATGTATACAAAGTCAAAATTGAGAAGACAGCAACAGACAGTAAGTGCCGCCTATGCAAAGAAGCTGAAGAAACAGTGGACCACTTGGTAAGCTGTTGCAAGAGGATTGCACAGACTGATTACAAGCAGCGGCATGACAAAGTAGCAACAATGGTGCATTGGAAGATCTGCAAAAAATATCATTTGCCTGTAAGCAAAAACTGGTGGGATCATAAAATAGAGAAAGTCATAGAAAATGATAAAATAAACTGCTCTGGGACTTCAGAATTCAAACAGACAAGCACCTGCAACATAACACCCCAGACTTAACAATTGTCGATAAGAAAGACAAAAAAGTCTGGATAGTGGACGTGGCAGTTCATGGAGATAGCAGAATAGAAGAGAAAGAACTGGAGAAGATAACAAAATACAAAGACCTACAAATAGAAATAGAAGGACTGTGGCAAAAGCAAGCAAGGGTAGTACCAATAGTCATAGGCTCCTTGGGTGCAATCCCAAAACAACTGGAGCACCACTTGACAAATTCGCTATTAGTCAATTGCAAAAGGC